GCTTTCAGGGCGGTGATGCGGCTGTCGGTCAGCCCCAGCAGATCGGACAGGATTTGCCGGTTGTCCTCGCCGAGCATCGGGGCCGGTTTGCGGATACGCACGTCGTTGCCGGACATGCGCCAGCCGCGGGTGAGGTACTCTCGGCGACCCAGGCCGGTAGCCGGGGGATGCTCGACCGCCTCGAAGTAGCCCCGGTCACGGAAATGCGGATCGCTCAGCATGTCCCGGCCATCGAGGACGGGCCCGGCGGGGACGCCGGCGCTTTGCAGGATGGTCATGACTTCGTATTTGGTCCGGGCGGAGGTCCACTGCGTGATGACGGCGTCCAGGTCGTCTTGGTTGCCGTGGCGCGTTACGGGATCGGCGAAGCGCGGGTCGGTGGCGAGTTCGGGCCCGTCGATGGCGTTGCAGAAGGCCCGCCAGTCGGCGTCATCGCGCACGGCGAGCACGGCCCATTGGTCGTTGCCCTGGCAGGGGTAGCAGCCGTGGGGCGACAGCGTCTCGTGGCGGTTGCCCAGGCGGCGGGCGCGGCGGCCGTTGAAGGCGTAATCGAGGATGCCCTCGCCGAGGAAGGATACGCCCGACCTGGTACATCGCGAGGTCGATCCACATGCCCTGGCCGGTCTTGGCGCGGTGGATCAGGCTGGCCAGCACGGCCAATTGCGCGGTCCAACTGGCGAGGAAATCGGTGTAGGAGTTGGCAATCTTGTTGGGCACCGTGCCCGACGACGTGCGGCCGTCGGCGTCCACGTCGAGGTAGCCCATGAACGCGCCGGTGCCGTGGGTCGGCTCCAGGGCGGTGGCCATCGCGCCGAAGTTGGTCCACGGGCCGGAATGACCGTAGCCGGTGTTGGACACCATGATCAGGTCGGGGCGCACCGCTTTCAGGTTGGGGTAGTCCAGGCCGAACCGGCGCATCACTCGCGGCGTGAAGTTCTCCAGCACCACGTCGGATACTGAAACCAGCTCACGCAGCACCTCCAGCGCGTCGTCGGAACGCAGGTCGAGGGTAACGCTGATCTTGCCGTGGTTCAGGGTCTGGAAGGTGCCGCCGCGCTCCCAATAGAGCTCACCGGGGTCGTTGTCGGGATAGGGGCCGTTGAGGGTGCGGGTAGTGTCCACAAACTGATTGTGGTGGGTATCGACCTTGATGACCTCAGCGCCCAGGTCGGCCAGGTACGCGCCGCAGTAGGGCATGGCGAAGACGCGGCTGAGGTCCACCACGCGAATGCCTTCCAGCGGAAGCTTGCGATTAGGCAGCGTCATATCGCCCCCAATGCCCGTAGCTGGGCCAATTCGTCGGCGGAAACGCCCAGCTCGTCGCCATAGATATCAGAGTTGTGCTGTCCCAGCAACGGAGCATGGTGACGCACCTGGTACTCCATGCCGGACAGGCGCGGGCCCATGCCGGGATAATTCGCCTCGCCGGCCACCGGGTGGGATACGGTGCGGAAGAACTCACGCTCGTGCAGGTGCGGGCAGTCGTGAAGGTCACCGGCGTCCTGGGCCATGCCGAAGACCAAGCGGCGCTCGCCGGAAGCCTGGTGCAGCGTCTTGCGGTCCCATTGAGCCAATCCCTCGACAAGCAGGTCGTGGATCTCCTCGCCGAACTCGATGCGGCCGGAGCCGGAGGCGAACCTTTCATCCTGCAGCTCGGGCACGCCGATCAGCTCGGCGACGGTGGACCAGGGCTGGGAGCCCTGGACCGATGGGATCACGTAGCCGTCGCGGGCGGGCATCAGCTCCTCGAAGCCGGAGCCGCGCACGGGGCGGCGGCCCTTGATGGCGCCGGTGTAGTTGTAGTACGGGACGGCCTGGACCAGGTGGGAGGCGAGGCATTCGACGGTTGAAACGTCGATGGCCTGCCCCTGACCGGTGAACATGCGCTGGAACAGGGCTGCTGACGTGGCCACCGCGGCGTTGATGCCGGCCACGTAGAAGGACTGGTTCAGCGCGTTGCGCAGCGGCTCCTGGTCGGAGTCTCCCGAATGGTACATCAGGCCGCTGATGGCGGTGGTTACGATGTCGGTGGCCGCGAAGTCGCGGTAGGGGCCGGTTTGGCCGAAGGGAGTGATGGAGGTTACGATGAGATGTGGATACCGTTCGGTCAAAGCTTCAGGGTCCAGGCAGGATGGCCTGGCATCGGGCGGGTAATTTTCCACCAGCACGTCGGCGGACTCGAGCAGACGGCCAAGCAGGCCGGCTCCGGAGACGGTGTCGACGTCCAGGGTGACGCCGCGCTTGTTGGTGTTGAGGTAGAGGAACGGGATGCTCTTCTCGGGATGGGGGTCATCGCCGGCGAAGGGGCCCATGTGTCGCGCTTCGTCACCGGCTCCGGGACGCTCGATCTTGACCACATCGGCGCCGTAGTCGGCCAGGAGCCTGGCGCAAAAAGGGGCGGAAACGTAGCCTCCCAGCTCCAGCACCCGCACGCCGTTCATTGGCAGGGAGAATGGAATGCCGGCCATTACCAGGGTTCTCCTTCCCAGTCCAGGGGCAGCGACTGGCCCCGCTTGGGCAGGACGACGGTGGCGGTGCCCGAGGCGGTCTGGCTGCCACGGTCGTTCTGGAGGCTCACGGCGCAGTCCACCAGGCCGAAGCCTTCCTCCTCACGCTTGCCGGTGACGATACCGGCGGCGGTGATGGTATCGCCGGGGAAGTCCATGCCCCGGTGTTCCACATAGAACCGCCGGAACCAGCCCTGGTCGCCGGCGAAGTCGAGCAGCAGTTGGCCGAGGTACTGGTTTTTCAGGGAGCCGTTGACCACCACGTTGGGCAGGCCCTGGTGCAGCTGCGCGAAGGGCAGATCCCAGTGGATGCGGGCGTAGTTGCCGTTGGCGGCGGCCCAGCGGATCAAGTGGGTGGTAGTCATGGGGCCCTTGACCACCGGCGGCAGGCTGTCGCCCACGGATACATCCTCGAAGTGACGTTGGTCGCTGCCGGTTGGCTGGGGCTTGGGCAGGATCACCTCGGGATTGGGCGGAGCGACCGCCACGGTGGACAGGTCGGTGGCGACCTGAGCAACGTCGGTGGGTTGCTCGCCGGCCGGCAGAGCGCGGTGGATGCTGACGCGGCGGGCGCGGCTGAGCTCCCGGTCGTGCTGGTCGGTCTGTATCTCCTCGCGGACGATGAAGACCAGCGCGCCGGACCGACCCTGCTTCTCGAATATGTCCAGCATGCGGAACCGGCGGGTAATCCAGGTACCGACGCGCACGGGAGCGAGGAACTGCCAGTCGCTGCCGCCGTTGAGTCCGTAGCTGTTGAAGGGCAGCGGAACCTCGAAGTGCCACTCCTGGCCGGCGCCGAAGTAGCCAATGGGCGGAGCGATGTCCTTCCAGGCGGCCAGCGGCGGGCAGAGCAGGCTGCCGAAGCGGCTGCCCTCGGCATAGTCGGGGTCAACGTACAGCGGGTTGTAGTCCTCGATGGCGTCGGCGACGTCGTAGGCCATCTCCGCGCTGATGGGGAAGCGGTTGCGCTCGGGTTCCGATTCCAGGCCGATCAGGGCTTTGACTTCGTCGGTAATCAGGGGGCCGGGCATCTGGCTGCTCCTTGTGGGGTTGACTCGGGCTCCTTATGGGCTCGACTCGGAGGGTGGCGCGAATTCTAGCCAAACACGGTGGATTGTACAAACCGGGCGGCAAGCAGACGCCCGCTGACACGGCGGGCTAGCTAGAGCACTCGCAGCAGTTCCCGCAGCAACAACGATATGCTGCCAACCACGGTGATCGCCACGACCACGTACCGAAATGCCCGCAGGCTGATGCGGTTGGCGATCACCGCGGCCACCGCCGTGCCAGCTAATACCGCCAGACTGAGCACTCCGATTATTTGGGCCGTCGTAACTCCGATCAGGCCGGTGATGGAGAACAGGACCAACGCCAACGTTGAGGCCAGGAAAAAGTACAGGCCCAGCGTGGCGCGGATAGTATCCGCGGGACCAGTCCTGCATCGAGGCGTAAAGGCCCGCCAACGGCGCGCCGACGCCCAGGGTTGTGACCAGGAGGGTGGCGATGAAGCCGCAAACGGGCGCGGCCCAGCTACTTCGCGCGCCGGGCAGACGGATCTGAAACAGGCTCATCACGCCAAGGACCAGGATGACGACCACGATGGTCAGCCGCAACGCCACCGGGTCGGCCTCGTGCACCAGGAGCACCCCGATGGGAACCGGCGGCAGGCCGGCGACCACGAAGGGCCAGGTCTCCCGCAGGTTCAGGTGCCGCCAGGTCTGGACGATGGTCAGGCCGGTGGTGAGCACGACCACGGCGTTGACAATCACCACCGCATCCTGGGGCGGCAAGATCAGGAGCATGAAGGGCATTGCCACGGTGCCCAGGCCGAAGCTGATGGTGCCCAGCACGATGGCCCCAAAGAACATCGCGGCCAGGCCAAGGGCCAGTTCCCAACCGGCCAGCATCAGGCTGCAACCGAGCGTCGTAACACGGCCCCGGCGGTTCCGGCGACGCTCGCACCCAAATTCATCGTGGATGGCTCCATTGTCCGGGCCAGATCATTAACGCGGCGCATTGTAGCCCAACGGTTGCCCTGGGGCGGGCGTGCCGGATAGTGGACCCGTCACTGGATGTCTGGTGACTCCGGCTGAGCCTCTGCAGGAGCGCCGGGATGAAACGGGTTATACTCGCGGAACCCACAACGGTTTAGGATCGCGGGGCCCCGGTACCGGAGCCCTTACAAACTAGGGACCCTTTCAAACAGGAACCCTTTCAAACTCGGAAGATCAGGAGCTTGGTGATGGCAGTTAACGGCTCGACGGGAGTGCTAGACGGAGTACGGATACTGGAGCTGGCGCGATGGCAGGCGGCGCCCCGGGGCGGGTTGATCCTGCAGGACATGGGCGCCGAGGTCCTCAAGCTGGAATGGCGTAAGGGGGCGGACCTCCGGAACTCCGGCCCCTTCGTGGGCGGCATGAGCGTCCAGTTCGCCGCGTACAACCGGGGGAAGAAGAGCGTTACCTTGAACACTCGTCACGACAAGGGAAAGAGCTGTTCTTCCGGTTGCTGGAGGTGTCGGACGTGGTGCTGGAGAATTTCCGGCCCGGCACCATGGAGGCTATGGGGTTCAGCTACGAGGAGATGTGCAAGGTCAATCCCGGCATCATCCTGGCATCGGTGTCAGGGTTCGGGCAGTACGGGCCATACCGTGACCGCCAGTGCTTTGACCCCATCATCCAGGCGATGAGCGGGTTCGGCGATCAGACGGGACGCGGTTTCGACCAGCCGATCATGGGCAATGGCCCGGTGATGGACCGCACCGCCGCGCTGCACGCGGTCATCGGCATCCTGGGAGCGCTGCGACACCGGGACCGCACCGGCGAAGGCCAGTGGCTGGAAGTGGCGATGCTGGACGGCGGCATCACCCTGGAGGAAGTCGCGCTGGCCATGTGCTACGACACCGGCACCAACGACTTCGTGCGGGTGGGCACGTTCCTGCGGTGCTCGGACGGGTGGGTGACCACGGGCGCCGCCCGGGCCGGCATGTGGGAGCGCATGCTCCGGGTGATGAAGTTCGACGATTTGGCCGAGGACCCGGAGTTCGCCGCCCCGATGTTTGCCACCGACATGGCGGAAATTCGTATGGAATTGCTGCGAGAGTGGTGCGAGGAACGGACGGTGCAAGAGGTGGAGGACGCCTTGGTCGCCGCCGACATCCCCTTTGGAGCGGTGAAATCCATCCCCGAGGTGTTGGCCGACAACCACATGTGGGAGCGGAACGTGATGATGGAAGCCGACGCCCACGACCCGCCGGGCAAGAAGGTGCTGGTACCCGGCCCGACCATCATCAAGTTCTCCAAGACGCCCACCAGCGCCGGCCCGATACCGAAGTACGGCGAGCACAACGGCGCGATCTACGGCGACCTGTTGGGAATGTCCCAGAAAGAGATGGCCGGTTTGGCGGAGGAAGGGATCATCACCTGATCGGGCAAAGCTTGACACTCTAACCGATCGCGGGATTTGTGGTAGCCGGGTTCGCCGGACAGCCGGCGCACATAGCTCCCCTGCTCCCGGGGACGCACGCGTGGTCGGGTGTGTAAGACGCGGGCGTTTCCATGACGGCCGACAGGGCCGGCGATTTGGGCGGGGGCAGGCTGACGCCGGCGGCCTCGGCGGCGCGGCGGTCCACCGCTTCGCCGAACAGGTCCAGGCGGAGTTGCCGGACGGACGGCGGGCGCTGGCCGGGGAACACCACGTAGGGCCAGGCCCGCTTGCGTACCACGCCCATGGTCTGGAGGTCGCGCCAGTTGTCGATGCTGTGCTGGCGGCGGTTCTGCAGGATGCGGTCGGCGGACACCGGACCGATGCCGGGGATGCGCAGTAGCTGATCGCGTGATGCGGTGTTGAGGTCGATGGGGAAGGCGTCGAGGTTCTCCATGGCGATGACCGTCTTGGGGTCCTGCTCCAGGGACAGGAAGCCACCGTGGTCAAATGCCAGGCCGATCTCGTCGCTGGAGAAGTCATAGACGCGTCGCAACCAGTCCATCTGGTAGAGGCGATGCTCCCGCCCGGCGGGCACGGGCGGCTTTTCCTCCATGGGGGTGTGGGTGGCGGGCCGGAAGGGCGGATAGTACACGCGCTTGAGGTTCCAGTCGGTGTACATCTGGTCGACGCGGCGGTAGATCTGGCGGTCGGACTCGTCGGCCGCGCCCACGACGAACTGGGTGGCCTGGCCCACCGCGCCGCCGTTGGTGGATGCGGTGAGCTCGTTGATCCAGGACATAGGGTCCAGGATGTCCCGCTGCAGGTCCTTGTGTGGGCTGATGCGGCGCAGCATGTCGGGTTCGGGCGTCTCGATGTTCACCGACAGGCGGCTGCCCAGCCGGTGGGCGCGCTCGACCAACTCGCGGCTGGCGCCGGGCATGACCTTGAGATGGATGTAGCCCCGGAAGCCGTGCTTCTTACGGATGATCTCGACGGTCTCCACCATGCGCTGGGTGGTTTTGGTGCCGTCGCCGGCGATGCCGGAACTCAGGAACAGGCCGTCCACGGCGAGGCGATTGTGCAGCTCCATGAAGGTGTCGGCCAGTTCCTCGCGTTTGAAGGCGTAACGCTTGCGGGGCACGTAGATGCTGTTGGGGCAATAGGCGCAGTCCATCTTGCAGAAGTCGGTGAACATCACGCGGAGCAGGCTGATCTTCTTGCCGTTGGGCAGGCTGGACTTGTAGATGCCCGGCGTGGGGTTCTTGCGAGGGTCGGAGTAGGCGACCCGGTTGGGGCCGCTGGTGGCGTATCCGCTGGCGAACTTGCCGGACCCGGCGTTTTCCGAGCGGGCAGCGCCGCCGGTGAGAATGTCGTCGGCGGCCACCATGCCGCCGAGGGTGCGCAGTTTGTCGTAACGGTCGGGCGAGGACTTGATGAGCATGGTTAGGCGTCTCCTGTGGGCCATGGCATCAGTTGCCCGGCGGTTTAGCGAACCGATGTTCTCACACCCGGTGTCGGCGCGTCAACGGGTTGGTGTCAAGGAAATCCACGAACGCAGTCGGACGCTCCCCGGCTGCTCATACGAGATTGCCACGCTTCGCTCGCAATGACATTCCGTAATACCGAATGTCTCTGGCATGACGGCGTAGGTCTCAAGCTCCGTCGGTCTCGAGTTGGCAAGCAGTGTGTTACAATGGCTTCACATACAACGCCGCTTTTAAGGCAGTCCGGAGAGGCTGGCAAAGCGTGAGCGCACACAGGATCGGAGCCGGTTTACCGCAGGGTAACGCTCCGGATTTTGACGCAACCCCCCGCTGGCCCGCCGGATTACGGCAGACAGGCAGGGGATTTTTTATTACCACCCGCAGTGAAATCATAACGCCGGCCGGCATCGACGAGGCCAACGCCGTCGGCCGGCAGGTCATGGACGCCGACGAAATGCGGCGGGCGCTGACGCGCATGCACCACGAGATCCTGGAGCGCAACCACGGCGCCGAGGGCCTGCTGCTGGCCGGCATCCGTACTCGCGGCGTGCCCATCGCGGAACGGCTCGCGGGGCACATCAACGACTCCGAAGGCGTGGCCGTGCCGGTGGGACACCTGGACATTAACCTGTACCGCGATGATCTTTCCGAGCGGCCGCGGATGCGGGTCCGCACCACCACGATGCCGGTGGACGTTGCCGGACGCACCGTGGTGCTGGCCGACGACGTGCTCTACACGGGGCGAACCGTCCGCGCCGCCATGGACGCGATCAGCGACCTGGGCCGGCCTCTGCGCATCCAGTTGGTCGCGCTGGTGGACCGGGGGCATCGCGAACTGCCCGTCCGCGCCGACTTCGTAGGCAAGAACATTCCCACCCGGCAGTCGGAACTGGTGCGGGTACGCCTGTTCGAGACGGATGGTGTCGACGACGTGTGCATCCTGGACCGGTGGGTGGACTGATGGCTACACGGGCGAAAACCGAGCCCACTGCCGCGCGAGGGCTGCCCCCAGGCGGCAGTGGCCGCCGTCGCCATGTGCTGGACCTGGACGATTTCACGGCGGAGGAAATCACCGCCGTGCTGGATGACGCGGCGGCCATGCGCGAGGTGCTGTCCCGCGACGTCAAGAAGGTGCCCACGCTGCGGGGCAAGGTCGTCGTGACCCTGTTCTACGAGGCGAGCACCCGTACCCGCATCTCCTTCGAGGAGGCGGGCAAGATCCTCAGCGCCGACGTGATCAACATGACCTCCACGGCCAGCAGCGTGGAGAAGGGCGAGTCGCTGTTGAACACGGGCCTCACGCTGCAGGCCATGGGCGTCGACGCCATCGTGGTCCGTCATCCGCATTCCGGGGCGCCGCATTTCCTGGCGCGTACCCTGGACCGCGTGTCCATCATCAACGCCGGCGACGGAGCGCACGCCCACCCAACCCAGGGGTTGCTGGACCTGCACACCGCCCGCGAGCACCTGGGCGACCTGGCAGGGCGCAAGGTGGTGATCGTGGGAGACGTGTTGCACAGCCGCGTGGCGCGTTCCGCCGTTTGGGGTTTCGCCAGGTTGGGGGCCAATGTGGTGCTGTGCGGACCGCCCACGCTGCTGCCTGATCCGTTGACACCGGCGGGATGGGGTCCCGGCGACAACGGGGTGCACAATCCGTTGGCAAGCGTGACCGTACAGCCCGACCTGGACGCAGCCGTCGAGGGAGCTGACCTGGTGATGGCGCTGCGGTTGCAGCTGGAGCGGCAGAAGGTCGGGTTCTTCCCCAGCCTGCGCGAGTACATCCGCCGGTGGCAGGTGAACGACGCGCGCATGGCGAGGGCCAACCCCGATGCGCTGCTGATGCACCCGGGGCCGATGAACGAGGGCATCGAGGTTAGCACCGCGCTGGCCCACGGCGAACGCTCGCTCATCGAGGAGCAGGTGACCAACGGCGTGGCCATCCGCATGGCGCTGCTGTACCAGTTGGTGGGCTCAGGATCGGGTGGGGACTGACGATGGTTGCTTTGGACCAGATGGGACCGATCCTGATCGCTGGCGGGCGGGTAATCGATCCCGCCAACGGGAGGGAGGCCGTGGCCGACGTGCTGGTCAGCAATGGTCTGGTCCGCGCGGTGGCCGACGATATTCCGGTCGGGTCGGTTGGCGAACACGGACGGGTGATTGACGCCTCTGGCTTGGTCGTTGCGCCGGGCTTCATCGACATCCACACCCACCTGCGGGAGCCGGGGTACGAGTACAAGGAGACCATCGCAACGGGGGCTGCTGCCGCGGCAAAAGGCGGGTTCACCACCATCTGCGCGATGCCCAACACCGACCCGCCCGTCGACAACGAGGCGGTGGTCGATCTGGTGATGCGCCGGGCTGCCGATGCGCCGGTGCGGGTGCGCGCCATCGGATGCGTCAGCCGCGGTCGTGCGGGGCGAGAACTGGCGGACATGGAGGAACTGGCGTCGGCCGGAGTGGTGGCGTTCAGTGACGACGGCGATCCCGTGCACGATGCGGCCCTGATGCGGTTGGCCCTGACCTACAGCCGGGACCTGGGCGCGCCCATCAGCAACCACTGCCAGGACCACGGCTCTGTCCAGCCGGCGTCATGGCCGAGGGCTGGGTGAGCAGCCGACTGGGCTTGGCCGGCATTCCCGCAGTGGCCGAGGAGACGATGGTGGCGCGGGACATCGCGCTGGCAGAACTCACCGGCGGTCGACTGCACGTGGCGCACCTGAGTTCGGCGGGCAGCGTATCTATGGTGCGGCAGGCGAAGGATCGCGGCATTAGAGTCACCGCCGAGGTTTGTCCCCATCACGTGTGGCTGACCGACGAGTGGGCGCTGGGCGGCAAGGGCGATGCCAACGCCACGGGCGCGATGGCCTACGACACCACCACCAAGGTGTACCCGCCGCTGCGGAGTCACGAAGACGTGGCGGCATGTCTCGCCGGCCTGGTGGACGGCACGATCGATTGTGTAGCCACCGATCATGCGCCCCACGAGCGGGCCAGCAAGGAGTGTACCTACAACGACGCCGCGTTTGGGATCAGCGTGCTGGAAACGGCGCTGGGAACGCTGATGGCGCCGGTGCATCGGGGTTCGATAGATTTTGATCACCATGATCGAGCGGCTGACGGCGGGGCCCGCACGGGTGCTGGGCGACGCATTTGCACCGTATGCTTCCCTGTCGCCGGGAACGCCCGCCGACCTGGTGATCTTCGACCCGCAGGCGCGCTGGACGGTGGATGTGAACGAGTTTGCGTCCATGGGCCGCAACACCCCGCTGGACGGCGTGGAACTGCAAGGGCGCGTCGCCGCGACGATGGTGGCGGGCCAGATCGTATTCGAGGAGGAAACCCTGTTGAACCAAGGAGCACGTGCATGACTCGTCCGGTACACCTGGCACTGGAGGACGGCTCCGTCTTCACCGGCGAATCCTTCGGCGCGCAGCGGGACGGTTGGGGAGAGGTGGTCTTCAACACCACCATGACCGGCTACCAGGAGGTACTCACCGACCCCTCCTACGCGGGTCAGATGGTGGCGTTCACCTACCCGTTGGTGGGCAACTATGGGATCAACCGCCGGGACTTTGAATCCCGGCGAATTCAAGTGTCGGGCCTGATCGTGCGTCAGCACTGCGACCTTCCCAGCCACGCATCCAGCGACATGACCCTGGACGCCTTCCTGTGGGAATACAATATCCCCGGCATCAGCGGTATCGACACGCGGGCATTGACGCGCCGGTTGCGTACGCGGGGGGTCATGACCGGCCTCATAACGGCGGACGAACCCGACAACGCCCTACGCCGGCTGGCCGAGATACCCCGCTATGACGACCTGGACCTGGTGAGCACGGTTACGACGCCGGGCGTCTACTCCTGGGACAACGGTGAGCATGAGGGCTACCCGACAACGCCACCGCCAGCCGGCGTTCGACGCATCCTGGTCACCGACGCTGGCGTCAAGTACAACATCCTAAGACTGTTGCAAAGCCGGGGCTGCGAGGTGATCACGGTGCCGGCCTACACCCCGGCCGAGGACATGCTGGCGATGCAACCGAACGGCGTCCTGCTGTCGCCCGGCCCGGGCGACCCCGTGCTGCTGGGCGACATTGTGAGCAATCTCGGCAAGCTCATCGGCCAGGTACCCATCATGGGCATCTGCCTGGGCCACCAGCTGGCCGCCCGCGCGTTGGGCGCCGAGACCTACAAGCTCAAGTTCGGACACCGGGGCGGCAACCATCCGGTGAAAGACCTGATTTCTGAGCAGGTGCACATCACGGCGCAGAACCACGGCTACGCGGTATCCGCCGACAACCTGCCCGCCGGGCTCGAGGTGTCCCACATCAACCTGAACGACTACACGGTGGAGGGTTTGCGGCACCGGGACCTGCCCCTGTTCACCATCCAGTACCACTCCGAGGCGTCGCCCGGCCCAAGGGACAACGAGTACCTGTTCGACCGCTTCCTGGCGATGGTCGACGACGCGAAGCCGGCGGGGCGAGTGGTTTAGCCTTCATCCTATTCCGTCACTGAAGAGACTGATTGGAGCGTACATCGCATGACCGGATTTACCGCCTTTCTGCTGGAACAGGGCATCGAAGCCCAGTTGCCCATCAGCTTGAACGAGACGCTGGGCCTGCTTGAAGAAACGGTGCCCACGTTCTCGCACGACGGGCACGGCTACGTGCTGGCGGCGGTGAGCCGGGGCCAGTTGGGCGCACGCTGGGAGCTGGCGGTCAAGGTGACCGACCCGGCCACCAGCCAGGCGATCAGCGACCAGCCCGTGGGGTTCGTGCACGCCATCAACGCGGGCCCCGATGCCACCGATTTCATCATCCCGCCGCGCACGCCCGATGGCGGCATTGACCTCGACCACTTCGATGCGGAGGGGGCGTTCTTCGGCGCGTTCATCTTCCAGATGATCAACGCGCTCACCGAGCGAAATCTCATGGAACTGCCCGGCTCCATGCCCCGTTTTTCATGACCGGTTAGAGCCGTAGGAAAGGTCTTGGATCGCCTCGTTGAATGGCTCTGCCCTTTCAGCCAATCAGCGAGCGTTGCGCGAAACGGGTTAGTGAGTAGGGTGTAGTAGAATCAACCGATGACAGAAGAGCTTGCGGGAGCATTGCGCCGTGTCGGGCTAGCTGCTTTAACTTTCCTAACGTCATTATCAATGGCAGTGATTTTAGTACTATCCGGTCTGTTGCTGGAATGGATCATCGGGTTTTCAATTGACGCCGGGACACGTACTCACAACGTCATTACTTTTGTGCTGGACGTAACATTGGTAGGGTGTGCCGTAGTTTGGGCAATCACGGGCGCGGTTATCGTAACGTGGGAAGCCGTGGTGGCTGCCAGAACTTTTTTGAGGCGTATTGGGAATTGACGCCATGTTGCAGCGTGCGCGGATACCGCTGATGAGAATGGTCGCTCCTACCAAATGGGGAGTAGCGCCTGCTGCCCTGGTTGGTCTGGTCCACGGCGCGCTCTATTTGGACGAATCCGTGGACTTGGCTACGGCGGTGGGGATATGCGATTTCCTTTCGCTCTCCGTGGGTCCATGGTTGGCAGTTCTCCTGTACCGATTGCTAATCCGTGGCTACGCGGTCTGGATGACGGCTATCGTCGACCGGCTGGATATCATCGAACCTCCGAATTCTTCCGGCGTAGAAACCCAAGCGCGGAAACCAAACGACAGCAAAGGCGTCGGTGTTGGCGCTCGAGCGGTAGGCCACAGTTTCTACCTCACTATATTTTGTTGCGGAGCAATGATCACTGGCCTAGTGTTGGCGACCCTAACCGCCCAGGTCGAAGGTTACGACTACCGGGCCTATCTGGTTGGAGCCGCCGGGTTTTTCGTGGTATTCGCTTGCACTCTCGTCTTGCAATGTTCCTACTTCGCGCTCATGCAGCGTAGGGCGGCAAGTATCGAAGCAAAGTTGCGAAGCCTTGGCGCGTCCCCCGATGGCTCCTTTCTGGTATCCATGCAGACTGCCGCCCTGAGCGCCAGTATTGCGCGAACCGAGCGACTAGGTTGCCGGTTCTTAGGAATGAGATCGATCACGGCCGACTGAACCGCAGATTGGACGACAACGACCCTGCGAACCCACAGAGGACACTGCATTGACTGACGCTCCACAACAACCCCGCAAGGTACTGGTCATCGGATCTGGCCCTATCATAATCGGGCAGGCCGCCGAGTTCGACTATGCCGGCACGCAGGCGTGCAAAGCCCTTCGCGAAGAAGGTGTGGTCACGGTCCTGGTCAACTCGAATCCGGCCACCATCATGACCGACCGGGACGTCGCCGACCGCGTATACATCGAGCCGCTCACCGTGCCGGTGCTGGAACGCATCATCGCCCAGGAGCGACCCGACGGAGTTCTGCCCACCCTAGGAGGACAAACCGGCCTGAACCTGGCCGTTGCCCTGGCCGACGCCGGGGTGCTGGACCGCTACGACGTGCGGCTGCTGGGAACGCCGCTGGAGACCATCCGCAAGGCCGAGGACCGGGACTTCTTCCGCCAGTTTTTGACCGATATTGGCGAGCCCATGCCACCCAACCACACCGTCTTCACCATGGCCGAGGCGCAGGCGTACAAGGCCGAGGCGGGGTTGCCGCTGGTGGTGCGGCCGGCTTACACGCTGGGCGGCACCGGGGGCGGCATCGCAAACACCGAGGAGGAGTTCCTGGCAACGGTTGAGAGCGGACTGGCCGCCAGCCCGATCACCCAGGTGCTGCTGGAACGCTCGCTGGTGGGCTGGAAGGAGATCGAATACGAGGTCATCCGCGACGGCGCCGACAATTGCATCACCGTGTGCAACATGGAGAACTTGGACCCCATGGGAGCGCATACCGGCGACAGCATCGTGGTCGCCCCCAGCCAGACGCTGACCGACAAGGAGTACCAGATGCTCCGGACGGCCAGCCTGAAGATCATCCGGGGCCTGGGCATCGAAGGCGGGTGCAACATTCAGTTGGCGCTGCGGCCGCATCCCGACGCCATGCGGAACCGGCCTAGCGACTGGGACGCCGATTCGGACTACTACGTCATCGAGGTGAACCCCAGGGTCAGCCGCTCCTCGGCTTTGGCGAGCAAGGCGACAGGTTATCCCATCGCGCGGGTGTCGGCGAAGATCGCCGTGGGCCGGCGCCTGGACGAAATTCCCAACGAGGTTACCGGCAGCACCGGCGCGGCCTTCGAGCCGGCGCTGGACTACTGCGTGGTGAAGATCCCCCGCTGGCCCTTCGACAAGTTCCCCGACGGCGACCGCCACGTGACCACCCAGATGAAGGCCACCGGTGAGGTCATGGCAATCGACCGCAGCTTCGAGGCGGCGCTGCAAAAGGCCACGCGGGCCCTGGAACAATCCAACTCGTCCTTGCTCTGGGAAGCCCAGGAATGGCGCAGCCTGAGCATCCGCGACGGCTACCAACACCTGCTGGATACGCTGCCCCTGGATCCCAACGACCTGCGACTGTGGGCGCTGACGGCAGCCCTGCGCCGGGGGGTGTCCCGCGATCAGCTGGTGGGGCACACTAGCATCGACCCGTGGTTCATCGCCGCCCTGGAACGCATTGTCGACCAGGAACGGCGGCTGTTGGGGAACCCGCTGACGCCGCCCCTCCTGCTGGCGTCCAAGCGGCTGGGGTTCTCCGACGTGGAGATTTCCACCCTATCCGGACTGCTGCCGGAACAGGTGCGGCAGTTGCGCCTGCAGCACGGGATAAAGCCGGTTTTCAAGATGGTGGACACCTGCGCGGCGGAATTCGAGGCGGCGACGCCCTACTACTACAGCTCGTACGATACTGAAAACGAGGCGCCGCCACTGGAAGGCCCCAAGGCCATCGTCATTGGCAGCGGCCCGATACGTATCGGGCAGGGCATCGAGTTTGACTATTGCAGCGTGCACGCGGCGTGGGCCCTCTCGCAGGAGGGGGTGTCCAGCATCATGGTCAACTCCAACCCCGAAACGGTGTCGACAGATTTCGATACCAGCGACCGTCTCTACTTCGAGCCATTGGACGAGGAGGCTGTTCGGGACATCATCGACAACGAAACGACGGACGACGACCCGCCGCCCAGCCTGGTGCAATTCGGCGGACAGACCGCCATCAACCTGTCCCAGTCCCTGGCCGCCGTCGGCCTGCCCATCCTGGGCTCCAGCGCGGAGGCCATCGACATCGCCAGCGACCGGCAGAAGTTTGAACGGTTCCTGGTCAACCTGGGCGTTCCACAGCCGCCGGGGGGCACGGTACAGTCCGTGGACCAGGCGCTGCGCGTGGCCCAGCGCATCGGGTACCCGGTGGTGGTGCGGCCGAGCTACGTCCTGGGCGGACGCGCCATGGAAATCGTGCGCAACGCCACGGAGTTGATCCGCTACCTGACCATCGCCACGGAGGTGACGCCGGAGCGCGAGGTTCTGGTGGACCACTACATGGAGGGCCGCGAGTGTGAGGTGGACGCCATCTGCGACGGCGAGCGGGTGCTCATCCCCGGCATCATGGAGCACGTGGAGCGGGCCGGCGTCCATAGCGGCGACTCCATGGCCATCTATCCCGGCCTGAACCTTACCGAGGCTGAAGTGAACACGCTGGTGGACTACACCACCCGCATCGGTCTGGCCCTGGGCGTGCGCGGGCTGATGAACATCCAATTCGTGCTGCAGGGCGGCAACGCCTACCGGAGCCCCAGCGTCAGCCCGTCGGACGAGGCGAACGACACCACCGTGTACGTGCTGGAGGTCAACCCGAGGGGCAGCCGTACCATACCGTTCATATCCAAGGTGACGGGCGTGCCGGTGGCCAACCTGGCGACCCGGGTGATGCTGGGCGGCAAGTTGTCAGACATGGGATACGCGGGCGGCCTCTGGCCACGCCAGAAACTGGTGGGCATCAAGGCTCCGGTGTTCTCCATGTCCAAGCTTGTCGGCGTGGACTGGTACATGGGGCCGGAGATGAAGTCGACCGGCGAGGTGATGGGCATTGACCGGGACTTCACGGGCGCGCTGACCAAGGCGTTGCAGGCGGCCAGCATCGACCTGTCGCCGGGGATGGGCGTGCTGCTCAGCATCTCGGACCAGTCCAAAGCCGACTCGTTGCCCCTGATTCGCGGGCTGGCGGACGCCGGCTGCCGGTTGTACGCCACCGAGGGCACCGCGGCGATGATCACCGCGATGGACTTGCCCGTAACGACCATAACCAAGCGGATTGGTCAGGGCTCTCCCGACGTGCTGGACGTGATCAACGACGGCACCGTCGGCGCGGTGGTCAACACCCTGTCGGGCGACTCGTCGGTGATGCGGGACGGGTTCTACATCCGCAGGGCCGCGGTGGAGCGGCGCATCCCGTGCTTCACGTCACTGGACACGGCCCGGGCCGCCATGGAGAGCATGCTGACCGGGGTGGACAACTTCAGCGTACTGACCACGGACGAATACCTGGCGATGTCCGGGTAACCCCCTCGCGAGAGGCCGCATTGGGTCGACGGGATTGCCGCGCTTCGCTCGCCATGACAGATTGCAGGCAAGTGGGCTCGGCGGGCTTGCCGCGCTTCGTTCGCAACGGCAGATTCAAGGCGAGTGGGTGGGTGCGCGTGGGGCTAACCCCAGGTTGAACCGAGCGACTGGAGAAAGCGCTACCAGTCAATCTGGACGCCGATTTCGAGTTCCTGGGCACGTTCCAAGGCCAACTTGGCGGCGGCGACGTCGGCCAAGCCGGTGCCCATCAGCTTGCAGTAGATGATCCCGTCGGACTCGGCCCGGCCGGGGACTACTCCGGCCGCTACGTGGCGCACCTCATGGAACTGGCTCCAGCGCACCAGTCCACGGTCGACAGCCGCGTTGATGTCGCCGCACTCCAGCGGGGCCTGTTCCAGGGAGTCGACGAATAACCGGCTGGCCCGGGTCAACACTGCGGCGTCCACTTCGTGACTGCGGGGGGTGGTTGGCCCGGCTCCGATCACCGTGGCGCCGTCCGCCAGCCATTCGCCCTCTACGACCGGGGTTGCTGCCGGAGCGATGCCGATGACCACGGCGCAATCGGCCACCGCGTCCCGGTTCGTGTCCGCGGCGATAACCGGACGGTCCAGCTCGGCGGCCATGCGGGTTGCGAACGCCTGCCGGCGTTCTGCGTTCCGGCTGTAGGCGTAGATCTCACCGACGTCACACACGGCGCAGGCGGCGCGCAATTGATCGCCGGCCTGGTTGCCGGTGCCAATGACGCCGAGGCGCGGGACCCGGGTGTTGGCGAGCAGCCGGAGGGTCGCCCCCGTGGTCGCCCCGGTTCGCAGCTGGCCCAGGCGATTGGCCTGGGTATAGAGCAGCAGACGCCCCGACGTGGCGTCGTAAAGGCTCACCTGGAACGAATAGCCGTTGGCGGTGAAAGTGAAGGTCTTGACACCGAACACGCCGTCGTAGAACAGGCCGCCGCCCATGACCGCGAGGTAACCGTCAGGGGAGAAGATCTTCCGCCTGGTCAGGTTGGCGGCGTCCCCGCGTCCGTAGTTTGCCATCATCGACTCGATGGCCGGCAGCATTTGGGGGAGACCGACACACCGGTCCACATCAGCGTCGGTTAGAAAATGGGCCATAGTGGTCACCAACTGCGGGATCGGGCGGGGCTACGAGAAGTAGAGTCGGTTCGTGCGGATGTACTCCCGCATGTTGGCCGGAACGGTGAACTCGTCAAATATGGCCTGAACCGGGCATACCGCAACGCAGTAGGCGCAGTCGATGCAGTCGTCGGGATTGATGTAGTACATCGGCGCGTCGTCGTCGGAATGAATGCAATCCACGGGGCAAACGTCGACGCAGGAGGCGTCCTTCACTCCCTCGCAAGGTTGTGTGATTATGAATGCCATGAGACTACCTCGGCCACGGGCGATAAATCGTGGTCGAATGTCCGCCAACGCGACGACCGGAACGGCCCATCGACTGCCCGCTAGTGCGGCGTATTCTGCGGTTTGTCCTGATATTTTGTCAAGGCATACGGCCCATGTATTGCTATCGCCTCAGGCGATACGTTTCCAGGGTTTACGCGCAGCGGAGTACGCCGTCCTCGGGCCATCCGGGGTCAAGTTCCCGGCGGCGATACGGCCCCGCAGCAGAAGAAGCCGGTTGTCTCCGGCTTCGGTCCCGTGTCCGAACTCGGGGGCGCCGCGTGGGGCAGGAGGTCGGTGAGGCGGATCTGCCGGGCTGCCAAAAGGAGGCGGCGGTCAACCCCGGCCCGGAGGTGCGGGCGCGCCCAAAGTTTACAACAGTTATGGGTTTGCATTATCCGCTTCGTTGATATAGTATATCGATCATATTGCGGAATCGTTCCGTCGCAACACGCGATTTATCAAGGTGTAGTGTCAATGGAACTGCGAGAGATTATCAGCTTTTTCCATGTCGCCAGGTTGCGAAGCGTTTCCAAGGCGGCGAGAAAGCTGGAACTGGGGCAGCCCACGGTTACCACCCACCTGCGGAAACTGGAGAGTGAATTCGGCATTACCCTCTTTGACCGCATCAAGCGGCCCATACAGCTCACCTCGGAGGGCACGCTCTTCTACGAGCTGGTCACGCCCATCGTGGAGTCCATCGACACCTTGAAGACGCAGATGGACTACTCGGAAGGACGGGGCTCCTTCGTGGTCGGCGCCTATCCGGACATCGTGTCCTACCACATGCCGAGGCCGATCCGGCAGTTCCGTGCTCGCTACCCGGATGTGAAGATGCGCTTGGTCGCCCGCTCGTACGCCAACCTGATCCAGCTGGTGAAGTCGGGGGAGGTGGACCTGGCCCTGTGCTCCGCACCACCCTCCGATGACGCGTCGCTGGAGTTCTCCGAGCTTTTCGACTACAACGTGGTCCTGATCACCGAGCCCAGCCACGAGTTGCTGCACCGCAGTCCCATAGCAATTGAAGACATGGCGAAGTTCCCGCTGATCCTGAACAGCCCAGAAAGCCTCAGCCGGCGGCGGGTGGAGCAGAAACTCCGGGAGAGCGGCGTCAGCTACGACGTCGTCCTGGAGATGGACAACACGGAGATGATCAAGCGCTATGTGGCGATAGGCATGGGGATCGCCATTGTCAGCGACTTCACCCTGCATCCGGAGGACCACGACCGGCTGGGCGTGGTGCGCCTGGACCATATCTTCCCGTCGGCCAACATCGGCGTGTGCACGCTCCGCGGCAAGTTCCACGGCCGGGGCGTCCGCAACTTCATCAACACCCTTTCGGAGAGCCTGTCAGGTTTTCACGCCGACCTGTGGGACTGGGATGTCGACCACGGTGGCGAGCGGAGGGCGGAGGCCATCGCGGAGGCCATAGCCAACGCCACGCAGTAACCGGCGGCGTTGAGCCCGAAATAAGCCAGGGGCGGGTCCATGACCCGCCCCGATTGCTGCCGGTTACGGTATCCGGCCCAGGAACCCGGAGCTGCCGCGGGTGACCCAGGCGTTCCACGAAGTCATGAGGAAGCGGGCGCCCTTCTCCACGTAGGAGGCAACGTTGTCGTCATTGACCAGCGTGCCGGCGGTGCGTCCCGCGTTGACGATGCGGGCGATGGCGTCGTCAATGGCAGACTGGACCTCGGGGTGACCGACGTTGCCGATGTGGCCCATGGTCTGGGACAGGTCGGTGGGGGCGACGAAGAACACGTCGACGCCATCAACCTTCAGGATGTCATCCAGGTTGTCCAGCGCGGCAACTTCTTCAATCAGAACGACTACCAGGGTCTGATCGTTGGCGCGGTGAACGTAGTCGGGCACGCCGTAGGACTGCCGGCCGCCGAACATGCCGCGGTAGCCCAGGGGGGCGAACTTTGCCGCGCCAACCGCAGCCTCCGCCTCCTCGCGGGTGTTGACGTGGGGCAGGACCACGCCCATGGAGCCGCGGTCCAGGGTGCGGGTAATCAGCGCGGCATCGTTGGCATTGCACCGGGTGACGGAGGCCATGCCCCACAAGTCGCAGGAACGAGTCATGTCGCCCAGGGCTTCCCAGTCCACCGGGCCGTGCTCGCACTCCATCCAGGCGGAGTCGAACCCGAGCGGGCCCAAAAAGTCGATGATCTCGCTGGTCATCAGGCCGGAGATGCAGGTGGCTGGCTGGCCCTGCCGCAACTTGTCTTTGACCGGGTTCGCACGTATCACTGCCACGGTGGATCCTCCTGAAGGGTGGGTTCGCGGCAGTATAACAGCATCGGAGTCCGACCCGCCGTTGGCCCGGGCGGCGGCGCAACGGCTACTGTTTCACCTCGTATCCCCGGGGGGTGACCATGCGCCCGTTGTGAACATAGGTGTTGGAGTTGCCGATGACCACGGTGGTGAACATGTCGACGCCCAGGGCGGCGCCGTCCAGCCCCCCGAGGTCGGCCAGGGCGACGGCCTGCTCGGGCCGGTAGGCGTGCCGGACGATGCCCACCGGGGTGCCGGGAGCCCGATGCCCCAGGAAGATCTCGCGAGCCTCGTCGAGCTGGCTGGTCCTCCGACGGCTGCGCGGATTATAGAGCGCGGCCACGAAATCGCCGGCGGCGGCGGCCTCCAGTCGGCGTCGGATCTGCTCCCACGGGGTGAGCAGGTTGCTGAGGCTGATGGCGCAAAAGTCCTGCATCAGGGGTGAGCCGAGGAGCGCGGCCGCCGATTGCAGGGCGGACACCCCGGGCACCGACTCCACTTCGGGTTCGGCGCCGTCCCAGTCGCGGTCGGTGAGGACGCGGTACACGGGCCCGGCCATGCCGTAAATGCCGGCGTCGCCGGACGAGACCACCGCCACCGTTTTGCCCGAGTAGGCAATGTCTACGGCCAGGGCCGCGCGTTCCAGTTCCTGACCTAGTTCCATGCTGTGCAGCGTCTTGCCGGCGGCCGGTTCCGCCACCTGCTCGATGTAATAGTGGTAGCCGACCAACTCATCGCTGTCGGCGATAGCGGCGGCGGCGGCCGGCGTCAGGTGGCCGGCGTCACCGGGCCCGAGACCGACGAGGTAGAGTTTTCCAGAGTTCATCGTCCTTCCAATCGACCGATGCCAAAATTGTTCAGTGCCGTGATGTCACGGGTGTTGCGCGATTTGCAACAGGCTTCTCACGTGCTCGACGCCGATTTGCAGATAGCGCGCCAGTTCGTCACCGCCAAGCCGGCCGGTGTAAAAATGATTGTGCAGCCGTTGTTGGGCCACGTGCATCCCGTCTTCCAGGGCGCTCAGGGTGGTTGGGTCTGCGACTGCAAATGCTAACAACCTCTCCATCTGTCTCCATTGCAGTGGGTGCGACGGTCTGCGACCGGCACGATGGGCGATGGCGGCGCAAGCATGGACGGTAGCTCCCCACACCAATTCTGCGGCGATCAGCGTGGTTTGAGGCTCGCTGCGCATCTCCCCGGACACATTCAACAGCGTTTCCGCGGTCGCATAGTGCGCTTCGCCAGTCACGGAGCCCGGCTGCCGGCGGTACGTTCGTTCAGTGACCTGACGAAACGGCGAACCGATTGAAGTCGCGTCGCGAAATCGTCGGAATCCCATCGAAGCTCAGGGTCGCCGAGCGAGCTCGCCTCGCCGCGGTATTCCTCACGGTAAGAGTCCGCTACGGAGAAGGCTGCCAAATTGCGGTGGGTGTAGATCTCATCGGCAGGGTCGGCGGCGGTGTCGTCCAGGTAATTGACGAACGCCAAGGCTTCGTCCCGGTTGCGGCATGGCCGACCACAGCGCTCAGCGGCCGCCGCCAACGCTTCCATAGTGGCCTCCCAGACCAGCCCCGCGCCTTCGTGCAGGTTGCCTTTGCCGATTTCCCGCTGGGCGGCTGCCAGCAGAGCCTCTCCCAGCGCCACAGTTTCCGGTTCGTCCATTGCCGCTAGCTCCGGCGCATTTCCCTTCGCCGACGGGATGCGCGCTACAGCAATGGTAGCACGGTCGGACTTGGTCCGGGGTACGATGACCCCGTCTGCTCCCGAGGCCAGCATGGCGGCCGGCTCGGCGACTCCGAATACGCCGAGCAGGTCGTGCGCGGCGGATGGCGTGGGCCGGTGGAGGCCGGCGGCTGTTCCCGCCGGATTGGGCTGGTTTGCCGGAACCGCATTTAACTGGACAGCATCGTAGATCGCCACGTTCACGTCGAGGGTCTCGGCCAGAGCGATTATGCCGGCTTCGTCGGCCTTGATGTCGGCGGTGGCCAGTTGCTTGAGGCTGCGTATTGCCAACCTGTTCGTCCGTAACGTGTCCTGCAACAACCCGCGCAGGTGGTCTTCCGCCACGCCGCGGCGGCAGCCCACGCCCGCCACCAGCGTAGGCGGGCGGTAGGTTATCAGCGGGCGACCGGTCTCAATGTCCAAGAGGCGATCAGACACGATGAGGACTGCGGTGTAGCCGGGATCCCGCAAGTCGCTGAGGCTGGCTACTGGGAATATGTTCTCCGACAACGGGGTGCCATCGGGCCACGCGGCTCCCGTTTCGGGATCCAGCCACAGGGCCACCGGATCGCCGTTGACCACGGCCGCTGCCGCCCGGGTGAGGTCGGTTGGGGATGCTTCAACGCGCCACCCCGCGTCACGACCCACGAGGTCGATGGCGGTGACCGCCAGGGCGTCGGATGCGGAGGTGACGATGGCCCGAGCTCCGATGGCGTCCGCAACCCGGTGCGCCAGCGCATCCGCGCCCCCGACGTGGCCGGAGAGCACGCTGACCGCGTAACGGCCGGCATCGTCGACGCATACCACCGCCGGGTCCTGCCGTTTGCTGCCTAGCACGGGGGCGAGCAGGCGGACGGCGGCGCCAACGGGCAGGAAGACCACCAACGCTCCGTACCGGGTGAACAGGTCCTGGATCACCGGCCGCAGGGGCAGATCGTAATACTGATGACGATCAATGCCGTCCGACGAATCCTCGCCGGTTCGCCGCTCCAGATACAGCGCGGCGTCGCTCATGGACGCCGCCAACCGACGGGCCAGAACCGCGCCCGGCCGGGACACCGCGATAATGGCGGTTTGGTTCGAGGCGGCGTCCGGATCGGGCATGCCAGTCACCGGTTAGTCGTCGCCGGTAGACGTGTGGACCGCGCGTTCCGGTTGTACCTCGTAACCGCCGGCCTCGTAGAGCTCGGTCCGGTCGGCGGCCGCGTGATCGCCCTGTCCGGCGCGGCGGTAGAGATGGGTGTACTCGTCGGAGTAGAGGTGGGAAACGGCCACCCGTTCGTCGGACGCAGGATCCAGCAGGTTGGGGTCCACCGCCTTGCCGACGATGATCAGGGCTTGGAGGGTGATCTTGGCGTCGCGCACCTTCTCGGCGATGTCGGTGAGCGTGCCGCGTATGATCTGCTGATCGGGCCAACCCACGCGGTACGCCACCGCGACGGGCGTATCGGCCGGATACCCAGCTTCCTGAAGTTGGTTCGCGATGCGGAACATGCGGGTGACGCTGAGGAAGATGACCAGGGTGCTGCCGTGGCGGGCCAGGTCGATCAGGCTCTCGCCCTCCGGCATGGCGACGCGTCCTTCGGCGCGGGTCATAATCACCGTCTGGGAGACCTCGGGCACGGTCAGCTCGGCCTTGAGGACGGCGGCGGCGGCAAAGGCGGCGCTCACGCCGGGGATGATCTCGTAGTCAACCCTTTCACGCTCCAGGATCCGCATCTGCTCCAGGGTTGCGCCGTACAACGACGGGTCGCCGCTCTGGATACGGGCCACGGTCTTGCCCTCGGATACGGCCTGCAGCGTGACCTCCATGATCTCGGGCAGGGCCATCTCCTTGCTGCCATAGATGATCGCGCCAGGCTTTGCGAACCCGGCGATCTCTTCAGGCACCAGCGAGTCGGCGTAGATGATCACAGTCTGCGCCGTCGATGATGCGCTTGGCCTTCAAGGTGAGGAGTTCGGGGATCCCCCGGCCCGGCGCCGATGATATAGACCTTGCCGTCGTTCGCCATGTGGTCATGCCTCCGTGGTGTCGGGCTCGTCAGCGCCGGATGATGAGTAGTGAGAAGTAGTCAAGGTCCTCGGCGGACAGTTCCTGGATGTTGCGTACGACGCGTTCGCTTTCGGTGGTGGCACGCCGGACGTAGATGGTGCGGCCGGCCAGGCCCAGCCGTTCCAGGTTGGCCAGGGCGTCCAGCAGGGTCCGATTGACCTTCATCAGGACGATGGTGTCGTAGAGGGCGATGGCTTCGCGCAGGTCGTCGATGCCATACACGGCCGGCAGGATGGCCAGGCGTTGCCCGTGGTGGACCAGCGGAGCCGCCGCCGACGCGGCAGCGGCCATGACCGACGATACGCCGGGCACAACCTCGACCGGAAGGTGAGGGTATTCCTCCTGGATTGTCTCCAGAACGTAGGCGAAGGTGCTGTACAGCATCGGGTCGCCTTCGGTGATGAAGGCCACGTCGCTGCCCGCTTCCAGGCGGGCTGCAAGGTCGCGAGCGGCGCCTCGCCAGACCTCACCGGCCGCGTCCTCGTCGTTGGTGGGGAACTTGGCCCGCACGACTTCCTGCCGTTCCTCGTCGATGATGCCCCTGATGATGGTGTAGGCATAACTCTCAGAACTGATCCCGGCCTGGGGCACCCAGATAACGGGGACGGACTGGAGCACCCGCTGCGCCTTCACGGTCAGCAGTTCCGGATCTCCAGGGCCGACGCCAACTCCGTAGAGGCGTCCCGGCTGAGAGGGTGTGGTCATTATTTCTGCCCCCATACTACGAACACCGGGTTCATCGCTTCGAGCCGCAGCGCGCCATCGGGCAGTTCCCGGCCTCGGGCGGCGGAAACCATCGTCATTTCCGGTGACATGCCGGCGGCCCGCAAAGCCTGGTAGGTGGCGTTGGCGCGTTCCATGACGGCGAAATTGGCTACGACCCGTCCGTCGGGGCGCAGGCGGCGGAACACTGTGTCCAGTATTGCCGGCATGGCGGCCCCGCCGCCTCCGATGAATACCGCGTCCGGATCTGGCAGGTCGGCCAGGGCATCGGGAGCCGTACCGATGACCACGGAGACGCGGCCATCGCCGTAGCGGGCGACGTTGTTCCGAAGCAGGTCCGCGCTGTCGGCGTCCTTGTCTATCGCGTACACGCTGCCGCGCAGCGCGATGCGGGCCGATTCCACGGCGACGGAGCCGGTGCCAGCCCCGATGTCCCAGACCAGGCTGTCGGGGCGCAGTTGCAGGGACATACAGGCTCACCGCCCGCACCTCGGACTTGGTGATCTGGCCCCGCAGCGGACGGCGCTGCTCAAGCGCGTCGTCGGACAGGCCCAGCGCCCGACCCACGGCCGGCGCGGTTTCCACCGGGGGGTTAGCCCTGACCATCGGCCACCGCTGCCGACGCGGAGCGCATCGGAATGCCGTCCGGCGACGTGCTCGCGGATCCCAGCAGGTTGCCTTCGAAGTCGAAGCACAGGGCGTCCACGATGATCGCGTCGCTTTCATCCGTGTCCGGGTCCTGGCCCAGGTATTTCTGCGCTTCGGAACAGACCATCTGGCACATCAGGGGGAACACGCCCATGACGTCATGCTCCTGGGCCAATTCCTGGAAGTGCCGGCCGCTGGCAGCATCGGCCATCTCGGCCTGGAGATCAGCGGACGCGCCGCATTGGCCGGCGAGGCCGGCGAGGAAGCCGGTATCCACCTGGTTGCCAGCGACATGGGTCACGAAATAGCCCATGGCCATCTTGGAGAACTTGCCCACCATGCCCACATGAGCCACGCGCTTGATGCCCTTGTTGACGCAGCGTTTCATGGAGGGGCCGGAGAAGATGCCGGCCTCGATGTAGGCCATGTCGGGCAGATCCAGCAGCTGGCGGGTGTATTCCTCGCTGCGGGTGCCGGTGGACAATACCAGATGGTCCAGGCCGTTGGCGTATGCCACGTCGATGGCCAGGTGTACGCTGGCGCGCCATGCTGCCGTGCTGAAGGGCTGCACCACGCCCGTGCTGCCGAGAATGCTGATGCCGTTGAGCACGCCGAGCCTGGCGTTGGTGGTCTGCTTGGCGATTTCCTCGCCGCCGGGCACGGAGATGCGCGCGCGGACCCCGGTTTCGGCCGGCCAGCCGCATTCGACCAAACCCTCGGCCACGGCGTCGGCCATCATGCGGCGCGGCACTCGCGTGACCGCAACGTCGCCAACCTCGATACCGGTGCCGGGTCGGGTAACCGTACCCACGCCCGGGCCGCCGGTGATCTGGAGCCCCTTGTTGCCGTCTGGTAACCGCCACACGCCGACGATGATCTCCGCGCCGTGGGTGACATCAGGGTCGTCGCCGCCGTCCTTGATGGCGGAGCAGCGGACGCCTTCTGCGGGCTCCATGGGCCAACTGCGGTGGACCTCGAAAGCGGCCCTACCCTGTCCACCGGGCAGCGGTACGGATACTTCGTCGGGGGCTTTCCCTGACAGCATCAGGATTACCGCAGCCTTGGCCGCCGCCGCCGCCGTGGTGCCGGTGGTGTAGCCGGTACGCATCCCTTTGGGGTCGCGCTTGGTGGGACGCGAGTAGTCGCTCTCGGGACGCGCGGACTCGTTGGTGATCTGTTCGGGTTCGTTCATGAAATTTGATCGCACGGCCCGGCTGTGGTCAGCTTCGGTTGTTCAATTCTACCCTATCGACCGGAGCTGCGCCTCAGGATACCCGCGTCTGCGCCTCCCGAACCCGATCGCTGGCGACCGCTACCAGGCGGTCGTCCACTCCGAGAGGCGGCGCCACCGACATGACAACGTCGGGATAGGCCTCCTGGAGCTGACGCATGGTTCCCAGCACGTTGCGACGCAAAATCATCCCGGGAAAGAAAACGTAGGGTACGCAGATGATGCTGCTCACGCCCCTTTGGCCGACCAGCTCGGCGGCGGCGTGTTCCATGGTCGGATCGCCGTAGTGGGACTGGGCCACCTCCACCGCGTAGCCGTGACCCAAATCGCGCTCAACCCAGCCGCCCAGCTCCTTCAGCCAGAGGCAATCGTCGTACCGGGTCTGAGTGCCGGCCTTGACCAGCAATATGCCCACCGGGCCACCGTCGGCCGGTTCCCGTACCGCCTGGGGCAGGGCCGAGATGCGCTCCCGCACCAGCTCGGCGATGCGGATGTCCGCGCCCAGGCCATCGGCCAGCCGGAGTTCCACGCCGGGCGATTTCGACGCGATGTCTTCGAGGACCTCTTCCATTTCGAGGGTGGCGTGCTTGCCGTTGCCGAGTAGGTAGGGGGCGATCACCACGCGGTTCAGCCCGGCGTCCGCCAGGATGGAAACGGCTTCCGGCGGATGGGGCGGTAGGAACTCCAGGCAGGACACGATGACCTGTTCCGCGTCGGCGGCCAGGGAATCGGTCAGGCGCCGGGCCGCCTCGCGCAGCCCCACCGGGGTGTTGGGGCAACCCAGGCACCAGGCGGGGAATCGGGGGCCGTCGGCCGCCCAGGCGCAGGAGCACTCGTCGCGACTGGCGCCGCGTTGGCTGCCGTGGCACAGCAGCACCACGCCCCAGCCTCCGGACCCGTTGCCGGACCCATTGTTGGTATCGTTGGCGTCGGGCATTGCGGCTCAGTCCTCCAGCAGGTCCAGCAGGGCGTTCACGGTCGCAGCAGCGGCTGAGCTGCCCCCGCGTCGTCCCAGGATGGTGATGTGCGGCACTTTTCTGGCGGCCAGTTCGGCCTTGGATTCGGGGCAGGCAACGAAACCCACGGGCATCCCGATCACGGCGGCTGGGGATACCCGTCCTTCGTCGATCAGGTCCAGCAGAGCCAGCAGGGCGGTTGGCGCGTTGCCGATGGCCAGCACCGCGCCGTCCATCAGCGGGGCCAGTTCGCGCACGGCGGCCACGCTGCGGGTTGTGCCCTCGCGGCGGGCGCGTTCGGCGACTTCGGGCGCGTCGATCAGGCAGGCGGTTTCCACTTCCCGCCTGGCCAGCGCAGCCCGGGAGATCCCCACCTGCACCATGCGGACGTCGGTTACCACGCGGCGAACGTCGCGCAAAGAGGCCAGGGCCGCGTCCACGGCTCCATCGCTGAAGCGCACGTCGGCGGCGATGTCGGGGTCGCCCTCGGCGCGAACGATGCGGTGCAAGACATAGCGCTCCGCTTCCGGCAGACTGGCAGCCTCCGCGTCGCCACGCAAGCTGTCGGCCACCATGACGAGGCTCTGGCGGTCGATCTCCTCAGGGAGCAGGGCGTATTTTTCGACGAGTGTCATGGTTTAAATGGCTTGGTGCGCTGGAACGTTGTCAGCGGTAGATTAACTGGCTGGGGATGACGCGCTGGTTCGGTTCGTCGGCATCGAAGACGAACCCGCGAACCGTCCAACTGCCCAGTACCGGCTGGCTATCATCCGCACCATAAATGACGCTGTGGGGGTAATCTTGATCGCCAATGCGCAACTTGACCTCGCCCACTTTCACGTCGGGGAGAGGGGTCAGTTTATGCGCCTCGGGATCTACATCATAAAACAACTCGATCGGCCATCCCCAGGGCATAGGTTCTGCCGGTTCCGGCTCCCAACCTAACTTGCGCAGCAAGCCGCTTGGCAGGACGGTGTATTTGGCCCCGGTATTGACTTTTACCCGCAGAGGTTTGGCGCCTGCACCGCTTTTGGAACAAACATCGATGTCAACATAGAATTCGCCCATATCGCACCTAGCCCGATGTTGGTATTGGGTCCGGCGCGATATGTATCACTCGATGATTAACTGGATCTACGCCAAGGGAGAAGTTCTGCAACGCTTCTACTCCGAATAGTTTGATATCGCTTGATTCGCCAAATACGAACCACTCCATGCCGTCCACATCATGAAAGCGTATCTTGACCATACCGACCTGAGCCAAACCTCGTGAGCCATCCGCGAGTTGGTAGGTGCGCGTTCCATCGGTCGCTTCCCAACCCAGTGTCCGCAGTATGTTCGCTGGCAATTGGCAGTAAGTCGAGCCTGTATCAACCTTCACCGGCACGTCGAGTATAGCCGAACCGTCAGCCGTCCAAATCCCTAACCAGACGTTGACGTCGCCCATATTGTGCCCGGCTAACCCACCACCACGTTGACCAGGCGGCCGGGGACGTACACGACGTTCCGCACGGTCTTGCCCGTCGATGTGGGATTGGACCTTCGGGCTTTCCAGGGCACGTTCTCGGGCGTCATCGTCTTCGATGCTGGCGGGCACCGTGATGCGGTCACGCAGGCGGCCGTTCACCTGCACCACCAGCGTCAGCTCGTCCTCCGCCGCCAGTTCCTCGTCCCAGCTGGGGAAGGATTGCTGGTGGATACTGTAGCCGTGGCCGGCCCGCTCCCACCACTCTTCCGCCACGTGGGGCGCTATGGGAGCCAGCATCAGCAGGAACTTCTCGATGGACTCACGCCATGTGGCGCTGTCTATCGATCCGTCGTTCCAGACCCGGCTCAGGTGGTTCACCAACTCCATCAGCGAGGCGATGGTGGTGTTGAACTTGAACTTGTCCAGGTCTTCATAGCACTTGCGGATGGTCTGGTGGAGGATGCGCTGGGTTTCGCGCACCGTCACTGTGTCGGTGGCGCTGTCGTCCAGTTGCGCGGGATCGTGTTCCACCAGGTTCCAGGCGCGGTTGAGCCAGCGGACCACGCCGTTGATACCCTCGTCGCTCCAGGGGCCACCCTGGTCCCAGGGGCCGATGAACATGAGGAAGCAGCGCACGGCGTCGGCGCCGACCTGACCGACCACGTCGTCGGGATTAACCACGTTGCCGCGGCTCTTGCTCATCTTTTCGTGGTCGCTGCCCAGGATCACGCCCTGGTTGAACAGGCGCAGGAAGGGCTCGTCGATGTCGAGCATACCCATGTCCCGCAGCGACTTGATAAAGAACCGGCTGTAGAGCAGGTGCATGACTGCGTGTTCGGCGCCGCCGGTGTACTGCTGAACCGGCATCCAGTCGGATGTAGCCTGGGGCTCAAAGGGCCCGTCGCTAAACTGCGGGGTGCAATAGCGGAGCATGTACCAGGACGAGTCCATGAAGGTGTCCATGGTGTCCGTTTCCCGCCGACCCGGGCCACCGCATTTCGGGCACTCCGTGTTCACGAAGGACTCGTTGATGGCCAGGGGAGATTCCCCGGTGGGCCGGAATTCAGCGTCCTCGGGCAGGAGGACGGGCAAGTCCGCTTCGGGCACGGGCTGCACGCCGCACTCGTCGCAATAGACCATGGGAATGGGAGTGCCCCAGTAGCGTTGGCGGGAAATGAGCCAGTCGCGGAGGCGATAAGTGACGGTCCGGTGTCCCCAGCCGCGTTTCTCCACGTCCTTGGCGATGGCTTCTATGCCCTCTTCGTTCGTCATGCCCTCGTAGGCGCCGGAGTTGGTCATAAAACCGTCGCCGATGAAAGCCTCCGTCGGTTCCCGTCCGTCCCAAGTTATGGGAGCAATGACGGTGCGGACGGGCAGGCGATACTTCCGGGCGAAGTCGTAGTCGCGCTGGTCGTGGGCGGGTACACCCATCACCGCGCCGGTGCCGTAGGTGGTCAGCACGTAGTCGGCGACGTAAATAGGCACCTGCTCGTTGCTCAGGCGGTTACGCGCGTAGGCCCCGATGAAGACGCCGGTCTTGTCCCGGTCGGCGGACAGGCGGTCGATTTCCGAGGAGGCGCGGGCCTGGCCAACATAGGCTTCGACCTCCGCCCGGCGACTATCGGAGGTGAGCTTGGACACCAGGGGATGCTCCGGGGCCAGTACGAGGAAGGTCACGCCGAATATGGTGTCGATGCGCGTGGTGAAGGTGCGGATCTCCCGCTCTTCGATGCCGTAGTCGGAAATGTCGAAGCCAATGTCCACGCCCTCGCTGCGGCCGATCCAGTTCCGCTGCATCGTCAGGATCTTGTCTGGCCATTCCTCTAGGGTGTCGAAGTCCAGCAGTTCGTCGGCATAGTCGGTGATGCGGAAAAACCACTGCTCGAAATCGCGGCGGGTGATGGTAGTTTCGCACCGCTCGCAAACGCCGTTGAGCACCTGCTCGTTGGCGAGCACCGTCTGGCACGACGGGCACCACACCACGGGGGCTTTCGCGCGGTAGGCCAGGCCGCGTTCGTACAACTTGGTGAAGAACCACTGGTTCCACCGGTAGTACTCCGGCAGGCAGCAGACCACTTCCCGTTCCCAGTCGTAGACCGTGCCCATCGACCGCAACTGGCGGCGCATGTTCTCCACATTGGACATGGTCCACTCGTAGGGATGGATGCCGCGGGAAATGGCGGCGTTCTCGGCGGGGAGGCCGAAGGCGTCGAAGCCGATGGGGTGCAGCACGTTGTAGCCCTGCATTCGGCGGAACCGAGCGTGAGCGTCCGACGGCGCCATGGCGTACCAGTGGCCGATGTGCAGGTCACCGGACGGGTACGGATACATGGTCATTTCAAACCACTTCGGACGGTGGTCGTTGTCATCGACCCGATAGATACCGTCGCGTTCCCACCGCTCCTGCCATTTGCGGTCGATTTCGACCGCGTCGAAACGGAGCTCAACTTGACGCTGGGCTGTGGTCATAGAAAAGCAACCCTCAATATCGGCGGGCGCGGGAGGCAGCGGCGATGGCGCCCAGCAAACGTACGTCTGGCAACCCTCAATGTAGCACACGGCTGAATGAGGGCATCGAAGTGCCTGACAGTATACCACCGGGCCTGTCGGGACGATTGACCGGAACTCGTGCCTTCGGTTCCTGAATACCCGCTCTGGGGCGATGGCTGGGAAAGATCGACCCCTCCGCCGTGGCCGCCAACCAGGGGGACACGGGCGGACTGTTGCCGGCTACTCGCGCGCCGGAGGCGGTCCGGCAACATCATGCACCGGGGCGTGCAGGCTGCGGTGCGCGGTCCCGGTCAGGACGTCATCGGTGGAAACTACGGTCCGATGCGATCCAACAACTCCCTGACCGGCCGGAACACGACTGTGCCGCAGACGGCCGGACGAGAGGCCCGGACCGGTCCGGCAAGGCCATCGGACCGGCGGGCTGTTGTTGCTGCTGTCTGGTTGTGGCTTTCGCCTAATCGTCCAGGTGGATGATGGCCGTCACCCGGGGAACGTCGCCGACGACCCGAGTGGTGTGCCCATGGCCGGTGAGATCCTCGGCGAGGTTTGCGTCGCCGGGCCCCAATCGGTGGACGGTGCCGTCGGCAAGCCCGATCTCCGCTTCACCGGAAAGGGTGATGATGTACTGCCGGCGGGGCGCCACGTGCCAATCGCTGAAATACCCCGGAGGAGAGGCGCGGAATATGATCCCCTTGGCGTTTTGCAACTGGTTCCACACCGGATCCGAAGGTGGGTCGATTTCTTCAATGTGGGAATGCCCGTCATCGCCTGAGTACAATCGTATTGAGCCCATGGTGCCTCCCATTCTGGTGCAGTTTCACCCGGAATATTAACACAAACGCGGGAGCCCGGCTCGAAGCGCGGCGCGGATGCTCGGTCACGCCCCGGCATCGACCGGCGAGGGACCCAAACAGTCGGCCTCGCACACCGCCGGCGACGCCAGACCCGCCAAGCCGGGTGCGCCGCCGGGTCGCCTTGCCCCGCGCCACGGCCGGGTGCACGTGACAACCCTTCGGCGATTGACATATCCCCACTCCGGGCCATAATGACGCTGGCCTCCGCCAGGCATATGAACAATCTCCGCACCTGGCGTGCCCGATTTGCGCCTCAACCAGCCCACGGTGTCTCTCAGTGAACGCTCCGTCCCACGGTAACGCCGGCTCCCGCGAGCCCGAAGCGGCGGCCGTTCGCGACGCGTCCAGCGCTGACAGTCCGTCGTGGCGGGTGCGGCGGGTCGACCCGGTGCGTATCCCCGTCCGCAGGCACCGCACTCCGCCGCGCCGCTGGTCGTCAACGCCCCTGCTGCTGCTGCTCACGTTCCTGCTGCTGAACGTGATCGGCGGAGCGATGCTGTCCCTGCCGATGGCAGCCGCCGACGGCGTCGCCGCCAGCCTGCGGGTGGCATTTTTCACCGCCATTTCAGCCTCGACTGTGACCGGACTCACGATGGTGGACACCACCGAATTCTGGTCCCAGTTCGGCAAGGCGGTGATCTTCGTGCTCATGCTCGTGGGCGGCCTGGAGTTCATCACCGCCGCCACGGTGCTGATCGCTTTCATCGGGCGGCGGGCCACCACGCTTGAAGAGGACGTCTACCAGGACACGGTCGGTGAGATATCCGCCAGGAATTTGAGCCGGGTGGCGCGAAACATCGTGGTCGCTTTCTTCATTGGCTACCTGGTCGGATCCGCGTTTCTTTTCGTGCGAATGCGGTCGGTGGCGGACTTCACGCTACCGGAAGCAGCCTGGCAATCCCTGTTCCTGTCCGTGTCGGCCCTCAACAACGCGGGATTCTCGATCTTGCCCAACGCGCCGGGCGGCGGCAACGCCGCGACTCTGGGAGCGAACCCGTACCTGATGTGGGTCATAACTCCGCTGATCATCGCCGGCGCCCTGGGGTGGCCGTTCATCATGGACATGCGACGGAACTGGAGCCCAAGCCGGTCGCGGCGGCGTTGGCCCGGACTGTTCATGTTCAATTTCCACCGGTTCAGTCTCGACACCAAGTTGGTGTTGATTCTGACGGCCTTTCTCTACGCGTTCAGCGCGCTGGCGTTTCTGTTCGCCGAGTGGAACGGTGTGCTGTGGAACCACTCGAGCCAGGGGATTGTCGGTTCCGCGATTTTTCATGGAGTCAGCGGCCGCACTGCGGGGTTCGCGGCGCTGGACTGGAGCGCGACCCGCGACTTCACTCAGTTGGTTTTCGGCGGGCTGATGTTCATCGGGGGGTCCACCGCATCGGTGGCTGGCGGCATCAAGGTCAATACGGTAGCCGTGCTCCTGGTGGCGGCGAGGTCGTCGGCCCTGAGAAACCCCACCACGGAAATATTCCGCCGGGAGATCGCCCCCGTGCTGGTGTCCCGGGCGCTGCTGGTGGGGTTGCTGGCGGTCACCTTCCTTGCCATCGTACTGCCCATTCTGACTTATACTGATCCTCACCTCCCGTTTCTGCCGTTAATGTTCGAGACGATATCGGCCTTCGGCACCAACGGAATGTCTGCGGGAGTCGCCAGCGAACTCAGCCTTGCCGGTTCGATCATATTCATGATTACGATGCTGGTGGGTCGAGTCGGCCCGCTGACCCTGGTGATGCTGCTCACTCCCAGAGAGGCCGCCACCTACCGTTACCCCGAAGAACCCGTTAGAATTGGTTAGTCATCATGCCGAAGCAAGTGTGCGTGATCGGTTTGGGCCGGTTCGGAAAGAAGTTGGCCAGCACGTTGTTCCAGCGGGAACACGAAGTGCTGGCCATTGATCAGGATGAGCAGCGCGTGCAGGAAATGCTGGGCCGCGTAACTTACGCTGTCGAGGCCAACGCAACCAACGAGACCGCGCTGCGCGACCTGGGTGTTGGGGATATGGACGTGGCCGTGGTGGCCTTGGGGAGCCAAATCCAGTCCAGCATCATCATCACGATGATGCTCAAGTCCCTGGGCTTACCCTATGTCATTGCCCGGGCCACCGACACGCAACATGCCGAGATACTGCACCGCGTCGGCGCGGACAAGGTGATCTTTCCTGAGGAAGAGGCCGCGGAGCGCGCCGCCAGCCTGGACCTGAGCCCCAATTACGTTGAGTTCATGAACATCACCGATGACACCGGCGTGCACAAACTGCGGCCACCGGAAAAGATGCGCGGTGTGTCCCTGCGGGACGCCGGCCTCGTCTCCGATTCCACGAGGCATCACGTTTCCGTGGTGGTAATACGGCGCGGCCACGAATATATTCTGAACCCGGCCGAAGACGAAATGATCGACGATGGAGACATCCTGGTGGTGGTCGGCAACCACGAAGATGTCGAGAGAGCATTCGCCCGATGATCGCGGGCCCGTTCCGGATGGCGTGGTAGTCCTATGAGTGACCAAATCGGATTCCTGGGCCCGGCCGGAACCTACACCGAGCAGGCCGCGCTGCTCTACTCGCCAGGCGGCGTCATGACGCCCTATCCCACGATCAGCGCGGTGGGCGCCGCGGTCTTCAACAACGAGGTCGACGTGGGAGTGGTCCCCATTGAAAACAGCCTGGAGGGGTCGGTCACGTTCACGCAGGACTTGCTCATCGCCCAGTCCGGCCTATCAATCCAGAACGAGGTGGTGATTCCCATCGACCATTACCTGGTTGCGTCGCCGGGCGTGGCGGCCGAATCGGTGGAGGTGATTTACTCGCATCCGCAGGCGCTGGCCCAGTGCCGGGAATATTTGGAAGCACGCTTTCCCGCGGTTCTCCGGGAAGCTTCCCTGAGCACGGCGGCCGCCGTGGCCGACATGCAGGGCAGCCGGGTGCCGGCGGCGGCGATCTGCCCCCAACGGGCCGCCGAGATCTACGACGTGCGCGTCCTGGACAAGGGGATCCAGGACAACACCACGAACCAGACCCGGTTCGTCGTCCTCGCTCACGCCGACCACGCCCCCACCGGCCACGACCGCACGTCCATCTGCTTTTCATTCACGGTGGACCGACCGGGAAATCTGTACAGCACCATTGGCGAATTCGCCAGCCGGGACATCAACCTGGTCAAGATTGAAAGCCGGCCGACCAAGCAGGAACTGGGCAGGTACATCTTCCTGATCGATTGCGAAGGCCACCGGCATGAGCCAGCGGTGGCCGCCGCGCTGGATGGGCTGCGCCGGCGCACTGACATGCTGAAGATATTGGGGTCTTACCCCTTCTGGGAACCCCGCGTCGAGTAGGGGCCGCGCGGATTGGCTCCGGCAGCGCAGGTGCAGGATCCTCCTTGATCCGTAGCGCGAGCGTCGGCGTACTTCGGCTGGTGTTCGGTTCGCTGTTTCTGGTACGAGGCGACAGCATGAGCCCCGCGTTGCGCGACGGTGATTTGATACACGTGCGGCTGAAACCGGGGAAGGTCGCGAGTTACGAGCGGGGATCCGTCGTGGTCGCGGAAACGTACTCGCCGCAAGGAGAAAGCGGACTGGCCACTAACGTTAAACGGGTGGTCGGGTTGCCGGGAGAGTTGGTCCGCGTTGGCGGCGACGGCGCCGTTTGGATCGAGGAGGAACCACTGGCGGAGCCCTACCTGCCGCCCGAGGCGCCGGCGGCGTCGGGTCCGGACCTGTCGTGGCTATGCGACGACGATGAGTATTTCCTGATGGGAGACAACCGAGCGGACAGCTGGGACAGCCGGCGCGTCGGACCGGTGCCCGCTGGGCAAATCAGGGGTAAAGTAGGGTTAAAGGCCCCGACACACCATTTGCTGGGAAGAAAAACCCGAGGCCGCTCCCGCCGTTCAAGCTGATCTCCGATGACCTCCCTGAGATCCACTCTTCGAGATCCACTCTTCTGAAGTGAAATTGAAGTGAAATTGCTCCAGCCCGCCGACTGGGCGGCCACAAACCGACGGTTGCTGCGCATCTGGCCGGTGCTGAAGGCGCTGCAATTCCGGAGGTCCATCCACCGCCTGGCGCAGCGTAGGAGTTCGGTGAGGCTGGTGCTGGCGACCGTGGCGGCGGTGACGCAGAACGACAACCAGCAGCTGATGGCCGGGGTGGCCTACTACGGCATGATGTCCCTGCTGCCGTTTTCGGTGGTGGTGTTGCAGGTATTGCCGCTGCTGCTGGGAGAGGAGGGCGCTAGCGCCTGGTTCGCCGCCATCCTGTCCAGCGTGCTCCCTTCCAACGTGGACGCGTCCACGTTGTGGCCGTCGCAGCCGCCGGCGGTGGCTGGCGCCACCGGTCTGGTGGCTATGGCCGGCCTGTTATGGGGCAGTTACAAGCTGTTCAGCGCGGTGGGGTTGGTGGTGAACCGCGCGTGGGGGATAGAACCGGCTCAGGTGGGCATGTTCGGCAAGATACGGGGGTACCTGTTCCTGAGCGCGATGGCCCTCGGTCTGTTGGTTTCCACGGTACTCACCTACGTCACGGTGCCGGACCTCACCGTCTATGTGTTGCGATCGGTCGATCTGGGCGGACTGGCCAACGCGGTGGAGTCGCAACGCTGGTGGCCGAGCCTCCTGGCGTGGATACTGTCGGTGTTCGTCTTCCTGCTGGTGTACCGGTACATACCCGAGCGAACGGTCCACTGGCGGTACGCCATCGTGGGCGCGCTTGCCGCGAGCATCATCTTTGAGGCGGCCGCCTACGTGTTCGCCCTATTCTTCTCCTACCTGGCGCCACAACGGCTCTTCTACGGCCCCCTGGCGTCGGTGCTCGTTATCCTGATCTGGCTGTTCTTCTCGGCGCTGACCCTGGTCTCGGGCGCAGTGCTTACGGCCTATTCGCAGAGCATCTATCGAGGTGACGGCCCCCTGGCCGAGATCGGGTTGGTTCCTGGGACCGGCCAGGCCACAGGCAAATCCGAACGATATTGAGTGAACCTATGACTGACTCCACGCGGGTTACCGCCGCACTTCCCAACCTGCGCGTTCTTGAAATCGCCTCGTTGATCCCCGGCCCCTACTGCGGAAAACTGTTGGCCTCGCTGGGCGCCGACGTAATCAAGGCAGAACCGCCGGGGACGGGTGACCCGTCCCGCCGCCGGGGCCCGTTCCCGGATGACGACCCCCATCCCGAACGCAGCGGGATGTTCCTGTACCTCAACACCGACAAACGGAGCATCACCCTTGATGCGCAAAACCCGGCCGGCCGGGATCTCCTGCGCCGGTTGATCGCCCGCGTGGATATGGTGCTCCACGACTACGCGCCGCAACGGGCCGCCGAGGTCGGGCTGGACGGCGACTCGCTGCTGTCGGCGAACCCTGACGTCATCGTGACCGCGGTAACGCCCTTCGGCAGCGCCGGTCCCTACGCGGACCACCACGCCGGGCATCTTGCCACCTTCCACGCCGGAGGCGAGGGCTGGCTGCTGCCCAACGGCGTGGCGCTGGACACCTTCCCGGACCGGCCGCCCATTGCGGCCGGCGCCAATATGGGCGATTACCAGGCCGGGCTCACCGCCGCCGTGGGCGCGCTGGCCGCCGTGTACAACCGGCTGGGCGTTGCCGACAGCCCCAGAGGCCAGGCGCCCAGAGGCCAGGTGGTCGACGCCTCCGCGCAGGAGGCGCAGCTATCGGTGGGCTACATGCCGATCCAACGCCACGAGTCGGAGGGGATCACCGAGACGCGCTTCTCCCGCTACTTCCGCGTTGGCGGCGTGCTTCCGGCCTCGGACGGCTACGTGGAACTGCTGACCCTGGAGCCGCGCCAGTTCGAGGGCCTGCTGGCCTTCATCGGCAACCCCGACTGGGCATCTCCGGCGATGTTCAGCGACCCGGCCACGCACGGCCCGGAACTGAACCGGCACCTGCGGGAGTGGTTCTCCCAGCACACCCGCGAGTGGCTGTACGCGGAAGGCCAGGCCCACGGCGTCCCCATCGCGCCCTACTACGCGCCCGCCGAGGTGTTTCAGAGCCCCCAGCAGCGGGAGCGCGGGTTCTACTCGGAGGTCAACCACCCCGCCGCCGGCCCCCTGGAATACACCGGCGCACCCTTCCAACTCAGCGAGACCCCGACCACCCTGACGCGCGCACCGCTGCTGGGTGAGCACAACGCCGCGGTGTACTGCGGGCTGCTGGGCTACGCGGCGCGGGATCTGGCGGCGCTGGGGAGGGCGGGGGCGGTCTGACGTCCGGTTAGTGCGCGCGTGGGAGCGCATCGTGAAATCGCGCTTCCAGGAACCACTCGACCGTGCCACAGCCGCAACGGCGGCAGAAGCACAAAACCGGCCGGCAAACCGCGGTTCCTCGTCCACCCGCGAGCAACGCCACATCCCACCCGGCTACGGCGGCGATCCCCATCTCCCGCAGCCGCGTCACCAGGTATTCCTGCGACCGGTCACCCTTGGTCCGGTTACAGTGGCCGCAGAGCAGTTGCAGGTTCTCGATGTGGTCCGTTCCGCCGCCCGACTGCGGGATCACGTGATCGACCTCCAGGTGCCGGAACTCGAACGCCGACCGGCATCCGTTGCACCGACCCTCCTGCTGCCCGAACAATACGTGCTTGTTCTGGCGGTACGGCACCGGCGCGTCAATGTCGGTGCGCCGGGGTATGTCCGTCCGCGCCGTCACCAGCCGGTTGTGGAACAGGTCGCCCATGGTCTGCTGCAAGCGCATGTTGACCAGCTCGACCGCCTTGGGCGAGATGTCGATGCCGATCCACTTCCGCCCCAGGTTCTCCGCCGCGACGCACGCCGTGGCGCACCCACAGAACGGGTCCAGCACCACGTCCCCCTCGTTCGACGACGCCTTGATGATCCGCTCCAGCAGCGCCAGCGGCTTCTGGGTCGGGTAGCCAATGCGCTCACGGGCTTGCGAGTTTATGGGCGGAATGTCTGCCCCACGAATCTTGTAATGGTAAACCGGGCATCTCGTCGAGGTAACGCTTATAGCGCGGAACCGCCGCCGGCCGACTTTGTACGACCCTGCCGGCGGCAATGAGCTGTTGCATTCGTTCTTCGCTGTAACGCCAATAACGAGTGATGCCCATCACTTCGTACTGCGGATTGCCTTTTGACGCTCCGCCAGGGCCAGTCAAATTGTCGAGAGTGTACCGGCGGTTAGTATCCGGCTCTATGAGCGAAAACCTTGCGACGTATTCCGGTTCATAGTCGGTATAAATGGTGTTCCATGTCCACCCGTCTGACCTGGTGTAAAACAGCAGGAGGTCGTGAACACGTCCATGCTGGCGACGTCCCTGCGCCCCGTCGTTATGGGCTGTAGTGCGTTTCCAAATGATCTCACTACGGAAGTTGCGCTCACCGTAAATGCTGTCCATCAACAGCTTGAGGTAGTGGCTGGCCGTAGGGTCGCAGTGCAGGTATATCGACCCCGTGTCCTTCAGAACCCGACGCATCTCCAGCAGCCTCACCCCCATCATGCACAGGTACGACTGCATCCCTTTGCCGTGGGTCAGTCCCGCCGTCTGCAATACCTGGTACATCGCCGGCTGCTCGTCGGCGATCAGACCCATCCACGCCACGTCGAGGTCCGACAGCGTCCAGGTGTCCTTGAACGCCGCCCCCGCCGCCGCGCTCCCCACCGGCGCCGCGTAGTTGCGGTTCGAGTTGAACGGCGGGTCCAGGTAAATCAGGTCCGCCGACTCCGAGTTCAACCCCCGCAGTATCTCGAGGTTGTCCCCGGTCCAGATCGTTCTTTCCGCAAAGTTGCTCAAATCCGGTTCCCCTGGCTCGGTTTTCAAAGACCACGCTGCCTCGCCCGCGTGTCGGCCAGCCAGTTCGGGACGGCCCGTACCCCGCACGGACCGGCCGGCAGCCTCGCCAATTCTAACCCGCCGGGCAGGTCCCCGCGCGGTCGTTCTGTCGCCGTCGACCCGGCGCTCCGGCCGTCACCCCCAACTGCCGCTCCGGTCCGGGGCCTTATTTGGATGCAATTTTATGCTAAAATCGCGGCAGAATCCCTCACGGAGACTTGCAAACATGGCCGACATCGAACTGGTCCAGATCGTCAAGAAGGGCCGCGATGCTCTCGCCGCCTGGCGCGAGGAGCACCCCAACCAACTCTTGGACCTCAACGCCTGTTACATGAGCCACAGCCGCATCCCCATGGTCAATCTTCGGGGCGCCGACATGCGGGATGGTGACTTCATGGGCGCGATGGTCCGCCGCGCCGACCTGTCTAACAGTTACCTCAACGACGCGCACTTCTACCGGGCCGACCTCCGCGAGGCCAACCTCAGCCGGGCTATTGCCCCCGGCGCCAACCTGCGGGGCGCGGACCTGCGGAACGCCAACCTCTCCGGCGCCAACTTCGACCGCGCCACCCTTTCCGAAGCCAACCTGTCCGGTGCGGATCTCACCAACGTCAACCTGGACCGCGCCAATCTGGACCGTGCCAACTTCACCGGCGCCAACCTCACCGGAGCCAGCTTCAACGGCGCCAACCTGTCCCGCACCAACCTGTCGTCCTGCACCCTCAACGAAGCCGACTTCTACGAAGCGGTGCTCAACGACGTGGTCACCGACGAGGCCGACTTCCGCAACTGCATCATCGGCTACACCGTGTTCCAGAACTGCGCCATGGACGCCGCCGTCGGGCTGGACGAGGTTCGCCACGACGCCCCCAGCACCATCGGCCTGGATACCCTGCTCCGTTCCCGGGGCGCGCTGCCGCAGTCCTTCATCCTCGGTTCGGGAGTGCCCATCGCTGTGTCCAGCCTCCAGGACAGCGTGGCCGACGCGCCGGTAACCACCCTCGAGGTCCATATATCCTGCGCCGACGCCGATGTCCCCTTCGCCCGCGCACTGGAAGCCAACCTGCGCGCCCAGGGAGTGCGCAGTTGGGTCTTCGCCGAGGGTTTTCGCGGCAACCCCCTGGTCGACCGCCGCGCCACCTCCGGCGAGGAGGAGATCGAGCGCTGGGTTCGCCACTACGACCGCCTGGTCGTGGTGTGCACCGCCGCGGGCCTCGATAGCGAGACCGTCCGCAACGACATCACCGCCGGCCACGAAGGGCAGAGGTCTTCAGACAACTGGACCATGTTCCTCGTCGACGCCGACGGTGTCATGGGCGCGGGCCGCAACCGGGCGGCGCGCCTCATGGCTGAGGAATATCGCTTCTTCGACCTCACCGGCCAGTCCGACGGCTCCGCCGAGTACCAGGCGGCGCTGGAGAACCTGATCACCAACCTCCGCGAGGAGCAGCCGGCCAGTGCCGCGGCTCCCCCGCGCCGTGAGGTCGATCCCCGGACACTCCAGCTGTAACCGCTCCCGGCTATCGGCGAACGCAAAGGGGCGACCGGTTGGTCGCCCCTGGATTTTTTAAGTCCCATGCTTTACCGGCCGGGGTCAGGCGCTCCGCCCGCTACCGTCGCGGTTCAGGGATCCGCGCGAACCCCAAAGGTCAGGCTTGGTGGCTGGGCGTGACCGGGTTCTGGCCGATGGCGCCAGCCTCGCGGGTCGCCTACCGGAACGGCGGGGCGTAAATCTGACCACCCTTGGGGCAGTCCTGGCACGGAGCGTCGGACCACAACGCGTTGCGGCTGCCGGACGGGCGCGGCACGCCCAACCCTCCGGAACCGAAATGCCGGTCGTAGACCTCGCCGTAGTTGCCCAGCTCGCGCACCACGTCCTGGGCGGCCGTCTGGCTCAGGCCGAGATTGTCCTGCCCCCAGGAGCCCTCGATCCCGAACAGCCGGTCAACTTTGGAGTTGCCCGTGCTCGCGGTGGGCACGTTGCCGGAGTTGATGTCGTAGGCTTCCGCATAGATCAGTATGCCTACCACCGACTTGACGATGTCGAACCACTGGTCGTCGCCGTGGGGTACCGCCAGGCTGATCGGTTCCTCGGAGATTGTTTCCGGGAGGATGATGTGCTCGTCCTCCGCGCCCCCGGCGGCGATGATCTCGCCCTTCAGGAAGGTGCGGTCGGTGGTGTAGGCGTCGCACTGCCCGGCCACATAGGCGGCGATGGCAGATTCGATCGCTTCGAAGGTGACCACCTCCATGTCGAGCTGATATTGGCGGTTGAAGTCCCCGAGGTTCAGCTCCGTCGTGGTCCCCTGGGCTACGCAGACGGACGCCCCTTTCAGCTCGTGAGCGCTGGTTACACCCAGCGCCGCCGGTACGGCAAATCCCTGCCCATCGTAGAGGGTCGTGTGGACGAAGTTGCCTCCCCAGTTCGCGTCCCGGCTGCTGCTCCATGTATTCACCCATGCCAGGATTTCGATCTCCCCCGACGCCAGGGACGGGCCGCGCTCGGCAGCCGACCCGATGATCCGGAATTCAACCGCTCCGGGATCGTTGAACACCGCCACCGCCACCGCTCGGCACAGGTCAATCTCGAAGCCGTCGTTCTCTCCGTCCACGTTGAGAACCCCGTAGCCGGCTACTGCCTTGGTCGTCCCGCAGACGAGGTGTCCCCGCTGCCGGGCCCGGTCCAGGCGTCCGTCGCCCTGGTTGGACATGCTCGTGTTGGCGATTTCAACGCCGGCCGCCGGCGCGCCCTCACCCGGCGCTTGCGCCGGTATGATTTCCGCCGGGGCAACCGGGCTGCAAGCCGCAACCGCCAGGACGACTATCGATACGATGCTCATCGCTGGTAGTTTGAAGGTTATTGCCATGATTTGTTCCCATGATCAGCACCATGCTTGGTATCAGTTAGTTTCCCGCGCTGCCCTGAAAACGCAATAGGGGGAAGGCAATTGCCTTCCCCCTGTTTCGACCGTTCCGAAGAACCGACCGATTTGGCAGGCTACATCGAATTAGATGTAGTCTTCCTCCTCGTACATCATGTCGACGTTGTCGGTGCTCTGGCCCAAGCCACGGATGACATCGGACCGGAAGGAAGCGATCATCTCGTCGGAGATCTCGCCGCCGTTGGCCTTGGCAGCGTCCTTCAACTGGTCGAAGGCCCACTCGGAAGTGTCGCCGTGCGGCATGTCGAAGAAGCCGGGCTCGAAGATGGGGAGTTCGCCGGGGCCGAAGTAGCCCTTGCCCTCGATGTTGTAACCTTCGAGGTCATGGGTGCCCTTGCCGAGGACCTGGCCGGTGGCAGCGTAGTGCTGCATGGTGGCTTCCATCCCGTACTTCTGGATCGGGCAAACCTTCATGCACACGCCACAGCCGAGGTAGCGAGCCATGACGGGGCGGCAGCGCTTGAAGTAGAGCTTGTTCTTCTCGATTCCGCGCCACCAGATCTTGTCGCGCATCAGGGCGCGGCCCGGGCAGCGGTTCACGCAGACCTGGCACACCTGGCAGAACGCGTGGATGCCGTAGTCGACGGGAGCGTCATAGGTGACGTTGGCGTCGGTGGTGATCATCATGATGCGGCAGCGGGAGCCGACGTGGGGGGTCAGCAGGTAGCCGCAGGCGCCCAGCTGGCCGAGACCGGCGGCGACGAACATCGGGATATAGGGGCCGGTGTTGTCGTTGGGGCTGTGAACCTGGGCGCGATAGCCGAGGCCGCGGACGAAGTTGCCGAGTTCCAGACCGGCAGCGCCTTCGGTGCGATACGTGCTGGAGTGCACGATCTCAGCGTCGATGCTGGGGATGGTCTGGGTGGGCTCGAAGTCCTGCTCGTAGGCCAGGCAGATGACGTGGGGGAAACGGACCCAGTCCTTCTTGCTCTGGTACACGTACCGGATGTCAAAGGCGGTGATGCCGACTTCGACGAAACCGAGCTCGCGAGCCTTCTGCTTGATGACTTCGGTGACGTCCTCGCCGTTGGCGTCGGACGTGGGGTCCAACTCGCCGGTCAGGCGGGCGGCCATGACCAAGTTGCGATTGAGCTTGTCGTGCTCCTTGCGGATCTCACGCATTTCGGCGTGCTGGTCGCGCATGGTGTTGGCCCAGTCGCGGGAAGCGCGCTCGGTGATGTTCATGGTCTCGACGGGATATTCCCGGGAGTACCAGTCAACCTCGCGCTGGTTCATGGGGATACCGGGAGTCGTCTCCAACTCCTCAGGCACCGGAATTGTGACAGGGGCGTCGCCCAGGTACTTCCCAGGTCGGCGAACCTCGTGACCAATCGTTAGCATATTCTCCTCCTCGGTTGGACTGCGTCGATGCGCGTAATTTGCGGGAAGGGTACTTCCCCGGTTCAAGTATGTCAATACTCCGCCCCCGAAATCATCATATTCCATTGCTTGATGATGATTATTTCAGGGCTTCCCAGCCGCACCGGAATGGCGCTTGTAGCTGCTCAAAAGCGCCGGAAATCAACGGCGCGCGGGGCCGGCGCGTGTGCTGCCGGCACCGTCGCATGACCCATGCCCAGACGAGCGATCCTGGACCCACCGCCGCCGTCGGCAGCAGAGGGGTTGTTGGCAGTAGAGGGGTCGGCGCTAATCCGCCACGCCGACCTGCGCCTCAACTCCCAGCGCGTTCCTCAGGTAACGACCGGTGTGGCTTTCCTCGACCTGCGCCAGCGTCTCCGGTGTCCCGAAGGCCAGCAGGTTGCCGCCCCGGTTACCCGCGCCGGGGCCGAGGTCAATGATCCAGTCGGCATTCTTGATGAGGTCCAGGTTGTGCTCGATGAGCAACACCGAATTGCCGTGGTCGACCAGGCGGTGCAGGACGCGCAGCAGGGCGGCGCAGTCCTCAAAGGAGAGGCCGGTGGTCGGTTCGTCCAAGAGATACAGGGTGCGCCCGGTGGCGCGACGGGACAGCTCCGTAGACAGCTTGACCCGCTGCGCTTCCCCTCCGGACAGGGTCGTGGCCGGCTGCCCCAGGCGAATGTATCCCAACCCCACGTCCCGCAGCGTTTCCAGCTTGCTGCGGATCCGGGAGTAGTTCCAGAAGAAGTCCAGTGCGGTCTCCACCGTCATCGCCAGCACGTCGGCGATGGACTGGTCGCGCAGCGTCACCTCCAGAGCCTCGCGGTTGTAGCGGCGCCCCTGGCAGATCTCGCAGGGCACGGTGACATCCGGCAGGAACTGCATTTCGATCTGAATGTACCCTTCGCCCTGGCACGCCTCGCAACGACCGCCCTTCACGTTGAAAGAAAAACGACCGGGCTTGTAGCCCCGGATGCGGGCCTCGGGCAGCGTGGCAAACAGTTCCCGGATGGGCGTGAAAGCGCCGGTATAGGTCGCCGGGTTGCTGCGAGGGGTGCGCCCGATGGGTGACTGGTCGATGTTCACCACCTTGTCGATGTGCTCGATGCCGGTGATCTCGTCGTGGTCGCCGGGCCGGTCACGACCCTGGGCTACGGCCTGGGCCAGCCGCTTGTAGAGGATGTCGTACACCAGGGTGCTCTTGCCGCTGCCGGACACGCCGGTGACGCAGCCCAACAACCCCAGCGGGAACTCCACGTCGATACCCTGGAGGTTGTTCTCGCGTGCCCCAGTGACGGCGATGGATTTTCCGTTGCCCGGCCGACGTTCCTCTGGGACGGGGATGCGCTTGCGGCCGCTGAGATACGCGCCGGTGAGCGACGCTTCGTTGGCCATGACCTCGGCAACGTTGCCGGTGGCCACAATTTTGCCGCCGTGCTCACCCGCCCCGGGCCCGAGGTCAACGATGTGGTCGGCGGCCCGCATCATCGCGTCGTCGTGTTCCACCACGATGACGGTGTTGCCCATGTCCCGCAGCCGGGTCAAGGTTCCGATGAGCCGGTGGTCGTCATGAGGATGCAACCCCACCGTAGGCTCGTCGCACACGTACAGCACGCCGGTCAGGCCGCTGCCGATCTGGGTGGCCAGCCTGACACGCTGGGCTTCTCCGCCGGAGAGGGTGCGCGCGGTACGGCTCATGGTCACGTAGTCGAGGCCGATGCTATCCAGGAAATGCAGGCGGCCGTCAATCTCCTTCAGTATCTGGTCGGCAATCACCATCTCCCGTGCGGTGAGCGTGGCCGCGACATCGGCAACCTCGCGTCGCCCATTCTTGCGAGATCGGCGGGCCTTGGACTTGGACCCGTTGGCCGCGGGGTCCGCGTCGGCGATTTCCAGCGTCTGTTCCGGGAGATGCCCGTTCCCGCCATCGCGCCCGTTGCTGCCGTCGTATCCGTTGCTCGAGCCGTTGGCGGAAACGGTGTCGCCGGGCTTGATGCCCCGGACCCAATGCAGCCCTTCGCCGATGGTGAGGCCGGTGACCTCCATGATGTTGCGACCGCAAACCAGCACGCCCAGCGCCTCCGGACGCAGGCGCGCGCCCTCGCAGGAACGGCAAGCCCGTTGGGCCATGTACCGTTCGATCTCGCCGCGGGTGTGGTCCGACTCGGTGTCCCGATAGCGGCGTTGCAGGTTGGGGATCACCCCTTCGTAGGCGGTGTTCCAGGTGTAGGTGCGGCCCCGGCCCGTCCGGTGACGGACCTTGACCTGCTGCTTGCCGGCGCCGTACAGCACGATGTTGACCTGCTCGTCGGTCAGTTCCCGCACCGGAACGCGGGGAGAGAAGTCGTTCTCGGTTGCCACCGCCTCCATCATGCTGGCGTACCAGGCGTTGGCCGCTCCCGAGCGCGCCCACGGCACGATGGCCCCCTCCAGCAGGGAAAGGGACCGGTTCTGTATCACCAGTGACGGATCAACCTCCAGCTGGTAGCCGAGGCCGGTGCACGTCGAGCACGCGCCATGGGGACTGTTGAAGCTGAAAGTGCGAGGTTCGATTTCGGGCAGGCTGATGCCGCAGGCGACGCAGGCGAACTGCTCGCTGAATACCTGGTCGTCCTCGCCTTCCCGGCCAACCGTGAGGACGCCTTCGCCCTCCCGCAGCGCGGTTTCCACCGATTCGGTGACGCGGTTGGGTTCGGTGTCGCCCCGGATGATGAGCCGGTCGACCACGATGTCGATGTAATGCCACTTCTGCTTGTCCAACGCCAGGCTGTCGGTGTCCTCCACCAGCATCACCTCGCCGTTGACGCGGACGCGGACGAACCCGCCCCGGCGTGCGGCCTCGAAAACTTCCCGGTGCTCGCCCTTTTTGCGCCGTATCTTCGGAGCCAGCAGCGTGATGCGGGATGATTCAGGCAGCCCCAGGATGGCATCGACGATCTGCTGGACCGTTTGGCGGGCCACCGGGTTGCCGCACTTGGGACAGTGCGGTTTGCCAATTCGGGCGAACAGGAGACGCAGGTAGTCGTAGATCTCCGTAACGGTGCCCACCGTCGATCGGGGGTTGTGCGAGACGCCCTTCTGGTCGATGGAAATGGCCGGCGATAGTCCCTCGATGTAATCGACATCGGGCTTGTCCATGCGGCCCAGGAACTGACGGGCGTAGGCGGACAGGGACTCCACGTAGCGGCGTTGGCCCTCGGCGTAGATGGTGTCGAAAGCCAGGCTGCTTTTGCCGGAACCGGAAACGCCGGTAATCACCACCAGCCGGTCCCGGGGGATCGTGACGTCTACGTTCTTAAGGTTGTGCTCACGAGCACCCTTGATGAAGATGACTTCCTGCGGCATAAAGACCTTACCGGATCAGGTGGGTTTAATCGGCTCGCGGGAGCGCGTTGGTGTTGGGATGGCCGGCAGGCGGTTCTCGGCCGGCGGAGACAAGGGCAGTTTTGGCTACTCCAATTCTACCAAAGGGTCGTTGGCGCTGACGGAATCCAGGGGCTGAACGAACACGGTCTTCACCACGCCGTCGCGGTGGGCCAGGATGCTCTGTTCCATCTTCATCGCCTCCACCACGCATACCTCGTCGCCGGCCGTTACCGTGTCGCCCGGCCGCACCATTACCGACATCACGCGACCCGGCATGGGCGAACGCAGTATGTCGTCGTCAATCGGCGCCCCGGAACCTGTGGGTGACGCGGCGGGCGCGTCCGGTACCGCCAGGCCTCCGGCCGGCCTCCCGCGACGCGGGGGCGATGCGGCGGCAACGGCATCGATGTCGACGTCGAAGCTCTCGCCGTCAACGGTGACTTGAACGGGAGACCGGGTCAGGTCGCCGACTTCAACGGTGTACCAATGGTCACCGACGCGTACTCTGATGGTGGTCAAGCTACCAGGATCCACTGCCAAGCCGTGAGCGGAACAGTTCCCGACGGCCCTGCGTGCGCCAGCGTGAACCGCGGTCGCCGGCCGACGCTCCCGCTGGGTTCTGTTCCTGAGCGGCATAGACCGCGGCCGCGCCGATGGCCGCCGCCAAAGCGCGTGGGTCGAGCTCGGGCGCGGGTGCGCCGGAACCCGATTTATGGGCGGGGTTGGTCCCGTTACGGTTCACGTTGGATTCCGCGTCTTTAGCTAGAAGCCGTCGCTCAAGAATGGCCGGCAGAGTGCCGGTGTGGTATCCGCCACCAACGAACTCCGGGCTGACCAGCACATCCCGCAAGAGGGGGATGTTGGTGTCCACGCCTTCCAGTCGGAATTCCGCCAGGGCGGAGTCCAGCGTGGAGATTGCCGAGTTCCGGTCGGGGCCCCAGGCCATTACCTTGGCGAGCAGCGGTTCGTAGTGTAGCGAAACCTCGTATCCGACGTAAAGCGCCGTGTCCACGCGCACGTGTTCACCCTGCGGGCAACCCCAGGCCGGTCACCACGCCCACGCGGGGCAGGCAGGTGTCAGGATCCTCCGGATACACGCGGGCTTCGATGGCGTGACCATTGGCGACGATGTCGCTTTGGCGCATCGTGAACCGGGTCCCTGCCGCGCACTGCAATTGCAGCTCTACTATGTCCCTGCCGGTCAGCAGCTCGCTGACTCCGTGTTCCACCTGAAGTCTGGGGTTCATCTCCAGGAAGTAGAAGTGCCCATCCGGGGTGACCAGGAATTCCACGGTTCCGGCGTTCGTGTAACCGACTTCCCGGCCGAGCTGTCGGGCAAGACGGCCGATCTGCTCCCTGACATCGCCCGGCAACTTGGCCGATGCCGGGGTTTCCTCGATGAGCTTCTGGTTGCGACGTTGGATGGAGCAGTCCCGCTCGTGCAGGTGCAGCACGTTGCCGTACTGGTCGGCTATCAGCTGGACTTCAATATGAGACGCCCCCTCCAGGTAGCGCTCGTAAAACAGGCTGGAATCCGCGAAGGCTGCCTGGGCGGTCTTGCGGGTTCGTTCGATGATCGGTTCCAGCTCGGCCATTGAATGGACCACGTGGATACCGATGCCGCCGCCGCCGGCCGCGGCTTTGACCATCATGGGGAAACCCAGCTCCCACGCCTTGGCGATGGCCTCGTCGTCGCTGACCGGCTCCTCGGTGCCGGGCATGACCGGCAGGCCGGATTTCCGGGCGACGCGCCGGGCGGACAGTTTGTCACCCATCTGGTAGAGCACTTCTTCGCCCGGTCCGATGAATACCACGCCTTCCGTCTTGCAGCGCCGGCACAGGTCGCTGTTCTCCGAGAGGAACCCGTACCCCGGGTGGATTGCGTTGGCGCCGGTGGAGCGGCAGGCGTCCAGAACCGCGTCGACGTTGAGATAGGAGTCCTTCGCCGCGGCGCCTCCGATGCACACCGATTGGTCGGCCATCCTGGTATGCAGGGCGCCGGCGTCGGCTTCGGAAAATACCGCCACGGTCGCGATGCCCATGCGCTGGCACGTACGGATGATGCGAGTGGCAATCTCGCCGCGATTAGCCACCAATACCTTGTCGAACATACGTGAACCCCCAAACCTCACGGCGCGCCTTTCCGGCGCAGGCTGCCCGTCATCGCGAGCATTGAAAATTATTTGCGGCCGGGTGAAACGATGGGCCGATTAGCCAATGAACGTGTCCCCAGAGCGCCGCACGAATTTCTCCCGTCGTCAATTTGTACGCCCGATCCGATCACGGGCACTTTACATAGCCTGTATGCGACGATTTTTACGCTATTGATCGACAACAGGTCAACACCCGGCCCAACGACATTCAGGCAAATTTTGCGGTTTCTAAAAATTCCTGAGACCTCACTCTGCGGTCCAGCCAGTACTGCAAAGTCGCGGTCAGCGCCTCACGCACCTCACGCTCCAACGGAGGGGGAACCGCTAACTCCGGCAGCGCCGCGACGGACTCCGTACGATCCAGCAGCCGCAGCAGTTTCAAAGCCGGCAACGACAGCGGCCGCACCACCACGTCAATCGGGCCGCATTCGGTGCAGAGGGTTCCGCCGGCCCCGACGGCGAAACGGTGGCGGTCGGGTTCCAGTTCCTCGCCGCATTCCACGCAAATGTAGAGTTCGGGCATGAAACCGGACGATCTGAGCAGCTGCAGGTCGAAGTATCGCAGCGCGAGATCGGCGTTTCTCTCCGTACCCAGCGCCTCCAGGGTCTCCACGGCAAGGTTGAACAGTTCCGCGTTGGCGACGGAAAGAGCGCTGAATCCATCGATGAGCTCGGCGACGTACAGCCCGCGCGCCGCATTCTCGTATCCGTTCTTGACGGCAGGGAAAGCGTCGACCACCTCGGCTTCGGTGATCTGGTCCATGGAACGGCCGTGCGCCACGGACACCCGGACCAGGGTCAGGGGTTCGAGATGGCCCATCAGCTTGCTGGTCAGGCGTTGCGCTCCGCGTGCCAGCAATTCCAGTTTGCCCTGCTCGCGCGTGTACACCACGGTCAACAGATCGGCTTCGCGCACCGGCGATCGGCGCAGGGTCAGGCCGAGAGCGCGATAGGTTCGGGGTGAAGTCATCGGACAGGACGCAAAACTATTCCAGCGCGGAGCGGCCGGACAGCGCCCGGCTCAGCGTGGTTTCGTCCGCGAACTCCAGCGAGCCCCCGACGGGAAGTCCCCGGGCAAGGCGGGTGATCCGGATGTTGGTACCGGCCAGGCGGCGGTTGATGAAGTCAGCCGTGGCGTCGCCCTCCAGCGTCGGATTGGTAGCCACTATCAGTTCCTGGAATGGGCTGTCGGTTTCGCGCAGGCGGTCAAACAGTTGCGGCAGGTGAATGTCCTCCGGCCCAACTCCGTTGAGGGGCGAAAGGACCCCATGTAGCACATGGTACAACCCACGATAGGCGCGGGTCCGTTCCACAGCCACGAGATCGCGCCGTTCCTCCACCACGCAGATTTGCTCCTGGTTTCGTTGAGGATTGGAGCAGATTTCGCAGGGCGACGCATCGGTGAGGTTGCGGCACGGGTCGCAAAACAGCAGGCTGTCCCGGGCCTCCTGGATCGCGTCGGCCAGCGATCTGGCCTCTTCAGCGGGCAACCGGATGACGTGGTCTGCGATGCGCTGAGCGCTCTTGGGGCCGATGCCGGGCAACCGGTTGAGCTCTTCGATGAGCCGGCTCAGGGACCGCGCGGTGCCAGGGTTATATTCGCTGACCATGATTGGGGTGACTGCCGCCATCGGTTACCGCGGCGGGCGGTACGGAGGGCCCATCCGGTAGGTTGCGGCCCCGATGGCCGGCGTGGGCTACTTATGCAAGCCTACGACCGTGGCCCCGGGGATCCGCAATCGAGGATTCCTAGATCAGGCCGGGAATATTCATGCCCCCGGTAACGGCGCCCATCTTTTCCGCAGCCAGTTCCTGGGTCCGGTTGGAAGCGTCGTTGACCGCGGCGGCAACGAGGTCCTGCAGCAGGTCGATGTCTTCCGCGGCCTCCGGCTCGATGATTACCGAGGTAACTTCCTGCTTGCCGGTCATGGTCACGCGCACGACGCCGCCGCCGGCGGAACCTTCCACGCTCATCTCTTCCAGTTCCTGCTGGGCCTTGGCCAGCCGGTTCTGCAATTGCTGGGCCTGACGCATCATCTTGCGGTTCATCATGGTATATACGGAGCCTCCTGCTAGTTTTCCTCGATTGGACGCGCTCCCAGGCCGATGGCGGTGCGGTATAGAGGGCTGTCCTGCACGGAATTGCGCGCCGGGACGGTCACCGTCCCCATTGGCTCCGGCCAAGGTGACGGTAAACGCATGGCGCTCGCCGAAGAACTGTTCGATGGCCTGCTCAATGGTATCACGAACCCGGGGATCGTTGAGTTCTTCCTGCATTCGGTCCAGATTGGCGACGTTGGTGAAGGGCAGCACCAGGGTTGCGGCGTCGTCCGAAAGGTGGACGCCATTGGGCCGGCAGTCCCTCAGGAGCGCGCCCAGGTTGTATTTGCTGCCCTTGTCGCGCCCCAGCCGCCTGACCACCTGTTCCCAACGCCCCTGGAAGCTATCCGGGGCGGCCGCCGGCGAAGATGACCGTGCTGCCGGAGCCTCGGCATTGGCCGGCGGCGAAGGGCGCGCCGGCGGTGCGGCGGCGGGCCGGGATTCACGAGCCGGCGCGTTGGCTGGTGGAGCTTCACGCCGGGGCGGGCGGGGCGCTTCGCGTGGCGGAGATTGCGCCGGCGCGGCGCGCTCGGGGGCTCTGACTTCGGGGGCCCTGACCTCGGGGGCGGCGACGATGACGTCTTTCCGGCAGATCTCCGCCGCCGCTATTTCCAGCGGCAGCGTGGACGGGGCGTCATACCGCAGGTTGGCCTCGCCCCAGGTTCGGACCGCCCGCAATATTGTTGAAGCGTCGTGTTTCTGAGCCTCCGCTTGGAGGCTGGACAGGAGGTCCGGCGGGAGGTCCAGGGTGTCGCCGGCGTCCCACGACAGCAGCAGTATGGAGCGCAGGATTTCCAGCGTCTGCCGGTGCAACTGGCGCGGTTCACCGCCTTCCCAGACCACGTCGTTGATGGTCTCCAGCGAACCGGAGGTGTCTCCGGCCAGCATCTTCTGCGCCAGCACCAGGTAGGCGTCGCTCCGAACCAGTCCCAGCGCCTCTTCGACATCGCGGAGCGTTATTTCCCGGTCGGCCGATACCGCCAATTGTTCCAGCATGTTCAGCGCGTCCCGCATGGACCCGCCGGCGTTCCGCGCCACCATGCGGAGGGCGTCGGGTTGGATCGCCACGCCTTCCTGGTCGGTGATGTAGGCCAGGCGGTCATAGATGGTCTGGCCGGGCAGGCGCCGGAAATCGTACCGTTGGCAGCGGGAGATGATGGTGGGCAGGATGCGGTCGGCCTCGGTGGTGCAGAGGATGAAAATGACGTGCGCCGGCGGTTCTTCCAGGGTCTTGAGGAAAGCGTTGGAAGCCTCGCGGGTCAGCATGTGGGCTTCGTCGATGATGTAGACCTTGCGCCGGTTCTGTGCCGGCTGGAAGTGGACCTTGTCGCGTATTTCCCGGATCTCCTCCACGCCGCGATTGCTGGCCGCGTCCAGTTCGATGATGTCCAGGTTGCGGCCCTCGTTGATGGACACGCAGATGGCGCACTGTTCGCACGGGTCGCCGTCCCGCGGATCCAGGCAGTTGACGGCTTTGGACAGCACCCTGGCGGTGGTCGTTTTACCGCTGCCCCGGGTGCCGCAGAACAGGTAGCTGTGGCTGACCCGCCCCTGCATAACGGCTTGCCGGAGCGTGTTGCCCACGTGCTCCTGGCCCGCCAGGTCCGAGAAGGTTCCTGGCCGCCACTTGCGGTAAAAAACTTGAGACGAAGTGGTCATCGGAGCAGTCTTGCCGGTCCCGCCAAGGGGTGTGGATTCACGGGTGCATTATAAATGTAAACCCGGCCGATATGGCGGCGTCACAGCCACGGGTTCCGAGATCGCGCCGTTGGGCGTTTATTCTCATCGCGTACCCACTTTGCACCCCCAGTCATTGCGAGCGCCCCCGGTCATTGCGAGCGCCCCCCGGTCATTGCGAGCGCAGCGTGGCAATCTCGTCGCCGGAGGGATCCTCGCTCAATTCAACGCAATCACCACGTCGCTGCGCTCCTCGCGATGGCAAAGTGGGTACGCATGAGGGCGTTTATTGCCATGCCGGGTCTGGGCCGGAGCGACCCGCATTGACACCCGCCGGCCCCCTGCTTACACTCACGGCCACGCGCCAGCGCCATGCGAGGAGGGACCGTCCATGCCCGACCTACCAGAACTTTTCCGACAGGTTGACGAGGCCCAGAACGACATTGTCGCCCTGGAACAGGCGCTGGTACGCATCCCGTCGGTGAACACGGGATTCATGCCCACCGGCGACGAGACCCCCGTGTGCGAACTGGCCCGCGACTTCCTCGCCCAAGACGGCATAGCATCGGAGATCCTGGAGTCGGCGCCCAACCGGGGCAACCTGATAGCGCGCCTCGAGGGACGGTCGGGGAACGCGGGCCTGATGTTCATGTCTCACACCGATGTCGTCCCGGTGGAGGACGACACGAAGTGGCGGTTCCCTCCTTTCAGCGCCACCATCGCCGACGACCGTGTCTTCGGGCGCGGCGCGTCGGACTGTAAGGGGCTGCTCACCGCCCAGTTGATGGCGGTCCGCATCCTCAAGCGCAACGGGATCGAGTTGGAGGACGGGCTGATCCTTGCGGCCGGGGCGGACGAGGAACACGGCGGCCGGTACGGGTTCGGCTGGCTGGCCGACAATCATCCCGAGAAACTGGCGGCTCCCTATGCCGTCAACGAAGGCGGTGGCACTCCTATCCAGGCGGCAGGTGCGCTGACCTACGTGCTGGGTGTGGGAGAAAAGGGCCGCCTCCAGGTCGAAATCGACGTCAAAGGGACCAGTTCCCATGCGTCGACGCCCTGGCAGGGCACCAACGCCCTGTTCCGGCTCAGTCGCGCGCTGTCTTCCATCGAAGGCTATGACGCCGACCGCGATACCTCCGGCGCCATCTTCGACCACCTGTCCACCTTTGCCATCGAGCACAAACCATCGGCGGAGAACGTGGACGACATCATCGCTGAGATTGAGACGGACAATCCCCGTTTCGCGTCGATGCTGCGGGCCCTGTCGCGGATGACGCTGACGCCCACCATGGTGCGGGGCGGGATCAAGTCAAACAGTGTTCCCGAGTCCATTCGCCTGACGTGCGACGTGCGAACGTTGCCTCATCAGGATGACGAGTACGTGCGGCAACAACTCGACGAGGTGTTGGCCGAAGTCCCGGGCATATCCTACGAGATCGATTACATGGCGCGGCCAAACTCGTCACCCTTCGACTCGCCGCTTTCGGACAGCATCCGGCGGGTGACCGGTCAGGCCCTGCAGCGGGACGACATCCAGTGGGTGCCGGCGATCAGCAACGGGTTTACCGATTCACGCTTCACTCGTCCCCTGGGAACGGTGACCTACGGTTTTTCCGGTTCCCACCCGGACGACGACCCGATGCTCAACTACACCCACGGCACCAACGAATCGGTGGGCATCAAGAGCCTGGTCAGCGGCACCAAGATCATGCTGGGCCTGGCGTGCGACATGCTGGCGGTGAAGTAGCATGGGGTACGACAACCTGCGTGTCGACCGCGACGGCCAGATCGCGGTGGTCACCCTGGGCCGGCCCGACAAGCTCAACGCCATCGACCGGCATCTGCACGCGGAGATGATGGCGGCGTGCGCTGAACTGCGGGACGACGACGGCGTGCGGGTTGTCATCTTCACCGGCGAGGGTCGCGGCTTCTGCTCCGGAGCTGATCTCACCGGCGCCCGCCCGAACGAAGAACATCCCAGCCGGGGCGAGCGATTGGACGAGTACAACTGGGTTGGTCGGCAGGCCCTGATGATCTACCGGGACCTGAACAAGCCGACCATCGCCGCGGTGAACGGCGTTGCGGCCGGCGCCGGCATGGGCCTGGCACTGGCGTGCGACATGCGGGTGGGCTGCGAAAACACTCGCTTCAAGACGGTGTTCATCGAACGCAGCCTAAGCCCCGATTCGGGACTTTCCTATTTCCTGCCCCGCATCGTCGGGGCGAGCCGGGCCTTTGACCTCGTGTTCACCAGCCGCACGGTGGACGCCGAGGAGTCGTACCGCCTGGGGCTGCTGGACCGCATGACGACGGCCGAGAACCTGCTGGCGGACGCGAAAGAACTGGCGAGACAGATCGCCTCCTGGCCACCGGTTGCCATGCAGATGTCGAAACGGGCGTTGCAGCGCAGCCTGGACACCACACTTGAGGACCAACTCCAGTACGAAACGCACAGCATCGTATTTGCGCGCCGCGCGCCGCACGACGTGGCCGAGGCGGCAGCATCGTTCCGCGAACGGCGTCCGCCCGTGTTCACCGGGGAGTAGAAGTCGCGCGACTGCCCGAGGCTCGCACGAACAAACATCGCAAAGCGCTTCGGAAGTTGTTTCGCGTGGCTTGAGCCATTCAGACCAGAGAGGTCGTTCCACAGGGATCGTCGTTCCACAGGGATCATTGCTTCAGACGGATCATTAAGGAGACAGGACATGCCGGCAGGAGATTGGGGAGACATCTACAAGGAACTGGGAGCGGTTCCGGTCATCAATGCGACCGGCAGCGTCACCATGCTGGGCGGCTCCACTCCGATCCCGGAAGTCCGGGAGGCGATGGCGCAGGCGGATGGAGCGTACATCCCGCTCATGGAGTTGCAGGAAGCGGCGGGCGCGGCCATCGCCCGAATGGCGAACGTGCCGGCTGCCTACATCACCTCGGGCGCGGGTTCGGCCCTCATGCTCGCCACGGCGGCTGCCATGGCCGGGGATGACGACGACCGGATTCAGCAACTGCCCAACACCGAGGGGATGAAGAACGAAATCCTGATCCAGACCCGTCAACGGTACTGGTACGACCGCTGCTTGGAGCTGGCCGGCGCGAAATTGGTCATGTTCGGCTCGGAGGGGCAGACCACCCGCGAGGACCTGGAAAGCGCCATTGGCCCCAACACCGCCGCCGTGCACTACTACGCCGTGGAGCAGGAGTACGATCCCGACGCGCTGTCGCTGGAGGACACCATCGCCATCGCCCACGCGCGCGACGTGCTGGTAACGGTGGACGCGGCGGGCCAGATATATCCGTTGGAGAACTTCGGCAAGTACGTCAGGATGGGCGCCGATTTCCAGTGCATCGCGGCCAAGTACATGGGCGCGCCACAATCCACCGGGCTGGCGCTGGGGTCCGATGAGATGATTCGAAAGATTGGACTCCAGGCCTTCGCCAGCTACGAAGGCCGGCGGGTGCGCGGAGTGGGTCGTCCCCAAAAAGTCGACCGACAGGAGATGGTTGGCGCGGTGGCGGCGGTACGGGCCTGGATGACCACGAACCACGAGGACCGGTTGGCCGACGTGGAACGGCGAACCCGGACCATTTTCAGCGCCGTTGACGGCGTTGCGGGACTGAAGGCCGACCTGATGGATAACGTTATCGGCCACCAACCCTACGGGCTCAACATCCGAGTGGACTCCGCCGTCGCCGGGTTCGATGTCTACGAACTGCGGGACCGGCTCAAGGAAGGAGATCCGCCGATCTGGACGCGCGTCCGGGACGGCGAAGACTGCATCACCATCCACATGTTTGGGCTCAACCCGGGGGAGGACCGCATCGTCGGGGAGCGGATTGCGGCTTTGTTCCGCAAGTAAGCGATCCACGAGCTGATCATGCCTTCTTACTCCGTGGCGGTTGATGTCGGTGGAACTTTCACCGACATCGTGCTGTGTGACACGTCGTCCAACGCCCAGTGGGTCCACAAGACCCCGTCCACGCCAAACGATCCGTCGGTCGGTTTCATGACCGGGCTGACCGAAATCCTGGCGACCAACGGAGTGGCAGCAAGCGATGTGGCGCATATTTTCCATGGCACCACCATCGCCACCAACTCCGTGCTGGAAAACCGTGGCGCCCCGGTTGGATTGCTGGTTACCGAGGGGTTTCGGTACGTACTGGAAATCGCCAGGCACGGGACGCCCCGCCTGGCCAACCCGAATTCCTGGGTCAAGCCACAGCGCCCGGTCCGCCCCCGCGATTGCCTTGAGGTGAAAGAGCGGACGGCGTTCAACGGTGAAATTCTCGCGCCGTTGGACGAAGCGGCGGTGCGAGAGGCGGCCGGGCATTTCGCGCGTGAGGGCGTCGCGGCCGTGGCGGTGGCTTTTCTCCATTCCTACGCCAATCCGGACCACGAGCGGCGCGCCCGGGAAGTCCTGCGCGAAGAACTGCCGGGAATGGCGGTGTCCCTGTCGTCAGAAGTCCTGCCAGTGTACCGGGAGTACGAACGCGCCATCACTACCGTGCTGAACGCCTACGTCACCCCGCGGGTTAGCACCTACATCGACAACCTGCAGCGTTCCCTGCGGGCGTTCGGAAGCGCGGCGTCACTGTCGATCATGAAGTCCAACGGCGGCATCATCGGCGCGGATACCGCGGTCCTGCAGCCGGTTTACACCGCGCTGTCCGGGCCGGCCGCCGGCGTGATGGCTACCCTCCAGATAGCCGAGGCCGCAGCGGTCGAAAACTGCATCTCCTTCGACATGGGCGGCACCAGCACCGACGTCTCGCTGGTGCAAAACCGGCAGCCGGGCCTGACGCTCAACGGCCGGTTGGGAGACTGGCCCGTCCAGTTGCCCATGCTGGACATCGCCACCATCGGTTGCGGCGGGGGCAGCATCGCCGAGGTCTCTCCGTACGGCAGCCTAACGGTGGGGCCGACCAGCGCTGGCGCCGACCCGGGCCCGGCCTGCTACGGCAGGGGATCGAACCGTCCCACCGTTACCGATGCGAACCTGGTCCTGGGGCGCGTCAGTTCCAGCATCGCCGGCGGGCAGTTGACGCTGGACACAGAGGCCGCGGTCGCCGCGATCGGCGAGGCGGTGGCGACGCCACTGGGCATGGATGTGGCCGCCGCGGCCAGTGGCATCCTGCAAATCGCCAACAACGCCATGGTCGGCGCCATTAGAAACATCAGCGTCGAGCGCGGCTACGATCCGCGGGAATTCGCGCTGGTTGCCTACGGCGGGGCCGGGCCGATGCACGCCATCGAGGTGGCAAATCTCCTGGGCGCGACGACGGTGGTGGTGCCCCCGCATCCCGGGATCGCGTCGGCCTACGGGTTGCTGGTGGCGGAGTTCAAGAACGACTACGCCAGAACGTCGCTGCAGCAACCGCCGGACTACGACCTGCCGCGCATGGCCCAGATATTCGACGGCCTCGAACGGGAAGGACAACAGTGGCTGGAAACGGAGGGTGTTGCCGACTCCGACCGGCTGCTGGTCTGGTCGGCCGACTTGCGTTACAAGCACCAGGGCTCAGAATTGACCGTCACCTATGGCGGGACGCAGGTTGACCAACGTGGGCTGGAGGCAATGATCGAGGAATTTCACCGCCGGCACTCCCAGCTGTACGGGTTTTCGCTGGATCAGCCGGTGGAAATCGTGACGCTGCGGGTCACCGCCTCGGGGCACCTGGGCGATGTTGCCATGCCGACTTTGCCCTCCGGTGGCGGAGAACCCGGAGACGCGGTTGTCGACCGGCGCCAGGTGTACTTCGAGGAATTGCGAGACTTCGTTCCGTGCCCCATCTACCGTCGTGAAAAATTGCGCCCGGACGCCACGATTGTCGGCCCGGCCATCCTGGAAGGGATGGACTCGACGGTGGTGATCAACCCCGGGTGGGAATCCCGCATTGACCAATACGGAAACTGCATCATGCGCCCCACCGGAGACTGACATGACGACCAGCATACCCAGCGCCGCACCGCTCCCGCCCCCGGATGCGCACGCCGAACCGGTCAATCCCGTAACGCGGCAGTTGATCCGCGGCTCGCTGCGGGCCGCGCGACTGGAGTGCGAGCTGATAATCGAGCGCACGGCAATGTCGGCCTTCATCCGGGAGAAGAAGGACTACACCGTAAGCTTCCTGGACGCCGGCGGGCGGGAAATCTACGGCGACACCATGGGCAGCGACATCCTGGGCTGCGTGTGGGAAAACTACCCGGTGGAATCGATGCGTACCGGGGACCTGTATTGGTACAACGACCCGTACCTCTCGCAGGGGAGCATCACCCATACGCCGGACATGGTGTTCATAGCTCCGGTGTTCTTCGAAGGCCAGGTGGTGGCCTACTGCCACTCGTTTGCCCATTTCTGGGATCTGGGCGGGTCGCGACCGGGCAGCATCGGGCCGGCGAACACCGAGATCTTCCACGACGGGACGCTGGTACCGCCGATCAAAATCATCGACGCCGGCAACCTCAACGATGAGGCCTACCGCATCATCCTGCGCAATTCCCGGTATCCCGACCTGCTCGAAGGCGATTCGAGGGCGCTGATGTCAGCGGCCAATCGCGCGCAGGAACGGTTGCTGGAGATGTTCGAGCGCTTCGGACGCGACACGATGCTAACCGCAATCGCCGAAGATCAGGCCGACACCGGGCGTTTGGTGCGGGACAAGACGTTGGAGCTGATCCCGGAGGGCGAGTATTCGGTACGCGACTATATGGACCACGCCGGGGTAAGCGAGCGGTGGCATTCCTTCCATCTCAAGCTGGTCCGGAGAGGTGACGAAATTCTGCTGGATGCCACAGGCAGCGACGACCAGGCGGACGGCTCGATCAATTTCATCGCCAGTGACGGGGCGCTAAAGGCTTATTTTGGCCAGTACTTCCACCAGTTCGACGCCTCCCTGATGGCCAACCACGGGCTGTTGGCAGGGATCGACGATGTGCGACTCAGGCAAGGTAGCATATTACGACCAGACTGGCCGGCGGCATTGGGATGCCGAGCCCATACGTTCACCAAGCTGAAGAGCGCGGTGCGGGCCGTGGTCGCCCAGGCCACGGAGGGCAGGGTGATGGCCGCCGCCGCGGTTTACGTGATTGCCTACTGGCGGATGAAGGAAAACGGGACGGGGAATTGGCTGCTCTGTACGGATGGCATCGCGGTGGGACATGGAGCCCGTCCGTTCGGAGACGGTCTGGACGCCATTTACCAGCGACACAACGAGAACTATCCCGGCGAGTTCATGGAGATGGAGTATCCGCTGCGATTGGAGCGTTACGCGATCGCAACCGATTCGGGAGGCCCAGGCAAGTACCGGGGTGGCTGCGGCGTGGTTCGGGAAGTTAGGCTGCTGGCGAACGAAGGCACGTTCGGGTTGCGGGTGGAGAACAACCGCTTCCCCGCCTGGGGCGTGGCCGGCGGGAAGGGTGGCGGCTTGTCCCAGGTGCTCCTGAATCCTGGAACACCTGAAGAACGGGAGATTCGGGCGTTTTCCGACGACAACCGCTGGAGGCGGGGGGACCTGGTGCGCATCTGCACGGCCGGCGGCGGCGGATGGGGTGATCCCCTGGAGCGGGAAGCCCAGTTGGTGCTGGACGATGTCAAGGACGGCTTCGTTTCACCGGAGGCAGCGCTGAAGGATTACGGCGTGGTGATCGATGAGGGCGGCCTGGTGGTCGACATAGCGGCCACCGTCGCCAGGCGGGACGAGATACGGAACGCCCGGGGCAAGACCGGACTCTTCCACCGCTTCGACTACTTCGATTCAGAGGCGGAGGAACTGGAGTGGGTCAACCGGCATATCCCGCGCTGACGCGGCCAATGTAATCGCGGTGGCCCCCGGTATTTACCGCCTCGCCGCGCGTGGCGGGTCCTCGGAGTAGTCCCACGAACGGACGCGGACGGGCGTTACCCGGATGTAGGCGGCGCCGGGACGCGGCTCGGTGGGCAGGTCGTCCTCGGATACCCCGCGCCGCTTGGCTGCTTCCCGGGAGTAGTGCAATATCTCGTCCGGTTCGGTGTGAACCGTGGCCGTGCCCTGCACCATCACTCCCTTGATGTCCTGCATGGTGCTTCCGGTCTCCAGCAACAGGCTGACGTTGGGGTTGTGGCCGATGTTCCGCAGCTTGCGCGTGTGCGCCCGGACGCCCATCAGGATTTCATCGCCCAGCCGGAAGTAGCCCAGGGGAACGGTGTGGGGGAATCCGTCGGGGCCGATGGTGGTCAGCGCCATCCAGCCGGGCTTGCTGTCGAGAAATTCGTGGGCTTCTTCGGTGGTCAATTGACGAGGCATGATAATCGCTCCTGGCACGCGACGTTTTGTCGCCGTGCGGTTGTCGCTCCTGGCACGCGACGTATCGTCGCCGCGGGGTTGTGGCCCGCGCCGCTGCGGGTCTTGGATGCTCTTCACGCGTACCCGCCTGTTTGCAAACCGTCATTGCGAGCGAAGCGTGGCAATCTCGTTGCTGGAGGAGCCATCGTTCGGACGACGGGATCGCCGCGCATCGTCGCCCCGCACAGTGACAAACTGGGTACTCGTGAATCGGACGCGTCCATTGTGGCATCCCAGACCCGGCGTCGCAATTTCGGCGGGTAATGAGTACATGGAACCTCTGCGATTTCCGATCCATAGCCGGGCGTGCGTTGGTGTCTGGTATATTCGTGCCCACGGAACGGAACCATCCCCCGCGCAAGGAGGACGAAGATGCCCGGAACCAAAAGAATATACGTGGGAATGCACGACGGAGTATGCGCTGTCATCAGCGACGACGGCGGCAAGTCCTGGCAGCAGGGACCCGTCAAGCCGCTTGCCCACGCGGCGGCGCGTCTCAGCGCCAGCCCAGTGGCGCGGTCGCGGGCGTACCTGGCCGCCTACGAGGCCGGGGTGTACCGGACGGACGACGGCGGCATCACCTGGGACCACCTGGGCTCATACCCGACCGAATACGCGCACAGCGTCCTGGCCCATCCCGATGACGGAGAGGCCGTCTATGTCGGCAGCGAGCCGGCGGAGATCTGGCGCTCCGCGGACTGCGGCGCGACCTGGGATGAGTTCGACGCATTTCGCGCGGTGCCCGAAGCGACGCAGTGGGGGTTCCATTCGCCGACGCGGGATTCGCACGTGCGTGACCTGCGGGCGGCGCCGGGCTCGGTGGAGTGCCTGTATGCCGGCATCGAAGTGGGCGGCATGGTGCGCTCCGGAGACGGCGGGTCGAGCTGGAAGCAATTGTCGGGACTCAATGACGACATCCATTGCGTCAACCTCAGCGCCAACCGTGCCGACCGGATTTACGTCGCAACAGCGGTGTCCCCCTATCGCTCGGATGACGGGGGAGAGACGTGGGAAATGATCAACGTCGGTCTGGATCGTCGATATGCCCTGCACATAGCGGCGGCTCCCGATGACGCGGACCTGGTGCTGGTGACCGTTTCCGAAAACGCGCGACGGGGGAACCCCAAGTTCTATCGATCCACCGACGCCGGGCGCAGCTGGGACCTGGTACCGGGTGTGGGAGAGGGGGAAAACCCGACTGACATGATGGTGGCTTTCGACTGGGACCCGCAGGAACCCAATACAGTGTACGGCGGCACCGATGGCGGCAAGCTGTACCGCAGCGCCGACCGCGGCGCCACCTGGGAAGCGCTGCCCGTAGACGTGGGCACCGTGGCCGTGGGAGCACTGGCCGTGTCCAGCGACTGATCCGTTGGCGACCGGGGCCGTGTTATCATCGGCCCGACAACCTGAAAACCCTGAAACCGGAGGTGCGATCATGCCGCCAAGTGGCAACGAATGGCTGGCCCTGACGACGGAACCGATACTGGAACCCGAGCTCCCGATCTGTGACCCGCATCACCACTTCTGGGTGCAGCGGCCGGAGCCGGCGGACTACCAGCAGTACCTGCTGCCCGACCTGGCGGCCGACATCAACAGCGGTCACAACGTGCGATCCACGGTGTTCGTGGAGGCGCGGTCCGAGTACCGGACGGATGGGCCCGAAGAGTTCCGCCCCGTGGGCGAGGTCGAGTTTGTCCAGGGCATCGCGGACGAGAGCGCGACCGGAGCGCACGGCGAAGGGCGGGCGGCCGCGGCCATCATCGGACGGGCTGACCTGAAGATGGGCGACGGCGTCCGGCCGGCGCTGGAAGCGCTGCAGGCGGCGAGCCCGAACCGCTTCCGAGGGATCAGACACTCGGTGGGCTGGGATCCTCACCCGGAGGTCGAGAACCGGGAGGTTGAAGGTCTGCTGCAGCGCGACGATTACCTGGCCGGGGCGCGGGTCCTGCAGGACATGGGCTTGATCCTCGAAACGTCGGTCTACTTCCCGCAGTTGCCGGAACTCGCGGAGTTCGCGCGGCAGGTACCGGACCTTACCATCGTGCTCAACCATATCGGCGGAATGATGCGCACCGGCCCCTTTGCCAACCGGGACGACGAGGTAATTCCGCAGTGGCGCGATGGGATCGACGCGGTGGCATCCGCACCGAACGTCGTAATGAAGCTGGGCGGGATCGGGATGCCGCGTATCGGCTTTGACTGGCACACGCGGGAGACGCCCGTGGGGTCTGAGGAAATCGCGGACTCCGTGGGCGACTGGATGCGGCACTGCCTGGACCGTTTTGGACCTGACCACTGCATGTTCGAGAGCAACTTTCCGGTGGACAAGGTCTCTTTCTCCTACCACGTGATGTACAACGCCTTCAAGCGGCTGTCGCAGGGGTACTCCGCTACGGAGCGTGCGGCGGCGTTCCATGACACCGCGACGCGGGTCTACCGGATAGCGTCCTGAACGCAGCCCACGATCATTGATTGTCTACCAGGGGCGTCCAGCGCGGACGCCCCAACTGAAACCCCAAAAGGAGAGCTGCCATGGAGCCTTTTGAGATTGCAATAAGCGACGAGGTACTGGAGGATCTGCGCCGGCGTCTGCAACACGCCCGGTGGCCTGACGAGATGCCCGGCACCGGGTGGGAGTACGGCTCGAATCTTGATTACATCAAGGAGCTGGTTGAGTACTGGCGGACGGATTTCGACTGGCGGGCCCAGGAGAAGAAGCTCAACGCGTTCAACCATTTCAAATCCGAAGTTGACGGGCTGAACATTCACTTCATCCACGAAAAGGGAGCCGGCCCGAACCCGATGCCGCTGGTGATCACCCACGGTTGGCCCAGCACGTTTTTCGAAATGACGAAGATCATCCCGCTGCTGGCGGATCCGGGAAGCCACGGCGGGGATCCGGCGGACTCCTTTGACGTGGTTGCGCCCTCGCTGCCGGGGTTCGGGTTCTCGCAAGCGTCGCAGGAACCGGGAATGCAGGTGCAGAAGGTGGCGGACCTGTGGGCCAAGCTAATGACCGAGAACCTGGGCTATCCCAAGTTCGCCGCGCAGGGCGGGGACATCGGCGCGGGGGTCACCTCACGGCTGGGTTACGCCCACTCGGACAAGATGATCGGCGTGCATCTGACCTCCATCACCCGGCCCACCCCCTACCTGGGACCGGGATCCCATCCGTTGACAGAGGCGGAACAGGCCCACTCGGACCAGCGCGAGCGGTGGCAGCAGAGTGAAGGCGGGTACAGCCACATCCAGGGCACGAAGCCGCAGACGCTGTCCTACGGGTTGAACGACTCACCGGTTGGGCTGGCGGCGTGGATCGTGGAGAAATACCGGACGTGGAGCGACTGCAATGGCGACGTGGAGAGCGCGTACACCAAGGACGAGTTGCTGACCACGGTGACCATCTACTGGGTGACGCAGACCATCGGGTCATCGGTGCGGATGTACAAGGAGAACCAGAGCTCAGTTTGGGAGATGGAGCAGGACGAAAGAGTCCCCACGCCGGCGGGGATGGCGATGTTCCCGCAGGAAATCGCCAAACCGCCGCGAGAGTGGGCGGAGCGGTCGTGGGACCTGCGCCGCTGGACCCAGATGCCCCGGGGCGGTCACTTCGCCGCGCTGGAGGAGCCGGAACTGCTGGCCCACGAGGTGCGGGAGTTCTTCAGGCCCTTCCGCAGCTGATCGGGCAAACCCACATAGGTGACCGGACAGGGGCGAATGATTATTCGCCCCTGCGTTTTTGTCGGGTTCAGCGGGCCAGGAACTTCAGTATCTTGGGGTTGACCTCTTCGGGCCGTTCCTGGTGCATGAAGTGGCCGGTGCCGGGGATGATCACCTTTTCCAGTCCGCCGGAGAAGTAGGAATACATCCCTGAGCTCAGGAACGACTCCAGCCGCCTGGGCCGGTCACGAGTGCCGTGGAGCGCCAGCGTCGGCACCCTGACGGGGCCGGCCTGGATGACGGCTTGGTCGGCGCGCACCTGATCGTCCACTTGGGAGGCGTCGTAGCGGGCGCGATAGTAGCCGAGGGCGGCCTGGACGACGCCGGGCTTGCGGAAGGTTGACCGGATGCTCTCCAGGGGTTCGGCGGGAATGTCCCACTCCGGCGACGCCCAGCGCCACCACTCCTCCACGAAGGCGTAGTCGTTGTGTGCCACTGCCTCCTCGGCGTCGGGGCGTTGGAAGAAGAACCCGTGCCAGGTGCCCTGTAGGTACTGGAAGTCCAGGCTGAGCTCGCGGTCGACGCGGCCGGAGGCGATGGTCACCAGCTTGATGACCTTTTCGGGCGCAAGGGCCGTGGCTCCCACCACGGCGCCGGCCCCCCAGTCGTTGCCGATCAGGTAGGCGCGGTCGGCTCCCAGCGCGCCGATGAGTTCCACCGCGTCCCGGGCCATCAGGGCCGAATGATACCGACCGTCGGCCGAGGCTTCGGTGGGAGCATAGCCGCGCATGAACGGGGCCACGGCGCGGAACCCGGCCGCGGCCAGGTCAGGCAGCAGGTGGCGGAAGGACCAGGCGTGGTCGGGGAACCCGTGCAGGCAGATGGCCAGGGGGCCATCGCCCATCTCCAGGTAGTGGAAGTTGATGCCGTTGGCCCGGACACTGCCGGTCCGGACGCTGCCGATATTGAAGTCAGCCATTATGCCTCACCGATTGGTCAGAATTCTCGAATGCGGGGCAGGATCTCGCGGCCGAACAACTCGATTTCGGCCATCACGTCCTTGTGGTTGAGACCGGGTTGCTGGAAGGCCAAATCGACGACACCCACGCCGCACTGTTCATGATACGCGCGGAGCTGTTCAACGATGGTGTCGGGGCTGCCGACGAAGTTGAGCATCGTGCGCGGCCCTCCGGCGCCGTTGGGCCGAGTGGGCGGCGATGCGGGACCGGATTGTGGCGGCTGCCCGGAGCGCGCTGCCTGTACCGCCTGGGCCAGCGACCGGCCGATGTTCAACCCCCGGCCCCCGCCGGCGGCGTGCACCCGGTCGCGCAGTTCCTCCGCCTGACGGTCGGTCTCAGCAAGGCAGATACCGCCACGGAACACGACCTGGTCGGAGGTTGGCTCCCATCCGAACTCGTGGGACCACCGCCGGTAATCATCGACCACGCCCGTCATATCGTCGGGGTGGTCATAGGAGATTCCCAAACCGAGACGGCGTGACGCAGCGAAGCGGACCGTATCGGCGCTGCGGGTCGCCACGATAAGCGGCGGCAACGGCCGTTGCACCGGCCACGGCCAAACGGAAACAGTGCGGTACTGGTAGTAGCGTCCCTCCCAGGAAAAGGGCTCGGGCTCGGTGAGGGCCTTCAGGACGAGGTCCATGGCTTCGATCAACCGCTCGCGGCCTTCGGACGGGTTGAGATCATAGACCTGGTCCTCACTCGGGGTGCCGCGCATGAACGCGGCAACCAGGCGACCGCCGGTTAGGTTGTCCAGCATCCCGATTTCCTCAGCGACGCGGACCGGGTTGTTGATGGGGAGCAACTGGCCGAGCAACGCAATCTTGGCCGTGCGGCAACGTTCGGCAACGGCTGCGGCCATCACGGCGGGGTTGGGCGTGGTCCGGTTGCCCGAGAAATGGTGCTCCGAAAGGCTGATCCAGTCGAACCCAAGGTCCTCGGCGAGTTCGCACTCTTCCATGCCCTCCCGGTAGGACCGGAGCGAGACCTCAGGGTCGTGATACGCCGGCGGGACTGGCCAGCCGTCGGGGAACCGGTCCCGTTCGGCGTAGCCCATGCAGCCGAAATACGAAACTTTCACGGCGCTCCTGCAGTGGAGAATGGTGTCCGGATGCGGCGATGGTAGGGGGCCGCATCGGGGTTGTCAACGCACGACAAAGTTTGCCGTTGTGCCAAAAGCGCTGGCCTCGGATCGCGTTCTTCAAGTCGCGTCTGCCACGTTTAGGTCACGGCGGCGCGCAGCAAAACGGGCCTCAGACGGTCGGCGGGCAATGGGGAAACGATTGTGCGTGTTGGCACGACCTCGCCCGCCGAATAGCCGTGGCGCGGGCGGCCTGCTTGACCGGGCGCCGGGCAAGGCTGTACTGTCGCCAACGTGCGGAGGAATCTGGCCGCGAAGGGGTGGGACACTGTCGGTGTGCCAACGCCGGTCGTTAACGTCTCCGCGAGCCCCACGACTAACCGATCCTTGGCCAGCCGGACATTACGCAACCAGGAGAGACATCATGCAGACCAGAGAGATGACCGCCAGCGCGTCGCGTTTGATGGTGGAACAGTTGGCGGCCTCGGGCGTCAAGTACGTTTTCAACAATTCGGGGTCGCGTGAAGCGCTGTTCTTCAACGAACTGCACGCGCGGTCGGACATACACGGAATTCTCGGGCTGCACGAGGGCGCCGTTACGGCGATGGCCGGCGGGTTTACCCAAGCAAACCTCGCTCCCGGCGTGATGGTGGTGCATTTGGGAGCGGGCCTGGCTCAGGCAATGGGTCAGTTGATCAACGTGTGGACGGGCAGCCTTCCGGTGGTGGTGATTACGTTCGCCGGCGATACGGGAAGTTTCGCCGGCAAGATCAGTCTGGACGTCAGCCACAACGCCGGCCCGACGGCAATTGCCGCGCCCCTGATGAAGGCAAACTGGACGGTGATTGAGCCGGAAGGGCTGCCGGCCGCTTTGGAAAGGGCTCTGAGGGTGGCGATGACGCCACCCGTGGGTCCGGTGCACCTGGCGGTTTACGACCGGCTGTTGGGACCCGCCGAGCACACGGCTAACATCATCGACGGACAGCTGCCGGAAATCCATGCCGGCTACCCGTCGGACGCCGATCTCGACGCCGTGGCGCGGGCGTTGCGGGACGCCAAACGTCCGTTGCTGTACGTGGGCGACGGCGTGTGGAAGAGCGGGGCGATTGCCGAGGTGACCGCACTGGCGGAGCGGTTCGGCGTGCCGGTCGTGGGAGACCCACGGGCGGTGTCCATCAAGCACCCGCTGCACGCCGGCGGCCGGCGGCTGGAGCAGGCGGCCGAACTCGATCCCGACCTGATCCTGTGCATCGGCGTGACGCACAACGGCGCGGGCAACGCCAGCGACTACACAGCGTTCTTCGACGCCGAGCGGACGATTGCCATCGGCGCCGACGCCGAGAATCTGGAGAACATCCCCGGTCTGGACCTGGCGGTGCTGGCCGACGAGAAGCGCGCGGCGCAACGCCTGCTGGACGCTACGGACGGCACGGCGGACGATCTGTCCGACCGCCGGAGCCGGGCCAGGGAAGAGGTTGCAGCGCTGCGGGCGCAGCGTCGGGACGCCGCGTGGCGGATACCTGCAGAAGACGGTAAGGTTCGGGCGGTGGCCCTCGGCGACGCCCTGGACCGGGCATTGGAGAGCCGTGGCGGCGGGCTGGTGACCATCGAGCAGTTTGCCGTCGCGCAGGACATCCTGGCCAACAACGACGAGGCGGGTCGCAACCAGTACATCCGGCCGGCCGGCGGGTCGGAAGGATACGGTGTGGGCATGGCGATCGGGGCCAAGCTCGGAGCGCCGGACCAGCCGGTCGTCGGTCTGGTTGGCGACGGATCGCTGTACTATTCCGACCACGCGCTGTGGACGGCAGCGAGCCACGAGGTGCCCGTGCTTTACGTGATCTCCAACAACGGCGCCTACGGCATTGTCGCCAGCTCCTTTGCCAACGCGAACGCCGACATGCGGGAGACCGGGGTGTACCGCGGCGTGGTGCTGGACAACATTGATCCGGTGAAGCTGGCCGAAGGGTTCGGCGTGGAAGCGATGGACGCAACCGACGAGGCCAACATCAGCGACGCCATCGAGCACGGGCTGGGTGTCGTCGAGCGGGAAAAGCGACCGTTCCTGCTGAACGTGCACATGCCGCTGGGTCTGCCGGAAGGCGGACGGCCAGGCGGGATCTACAGCCTCAGCGCGGAGCTCGGCTAGAGCGTGTGGACAAATTGAGCACGTACCCGGAAATGGGGTTGTCGTGCTGAACCCGCCTGAGTTTTGGCGTGGAGGTTTTTCGCTGTTTGACTGGCTGGGCCGGTCGTTTGAGGGGTCCCTTAATGGCTGAGGAAATTAGCATGTACCTGCTATCTGGCCTGCTTGGCGCTGCTTTGCTGAATTGTCTCCCATTGATGTTTTGGATAGCGTCGCGTCTCGCGGACGTGTTGACGACCTACGTCGGGCTGCGGCTGTTGGGAGGCGATAACGCCAATTTTGACAGCGGGCTATCCACCCCATAGACTCGGCGGGCCAAAAAAAGGGCCCCGGTGGGGAAACACCGAGGCCGCGGCGATGGGGAATTCCGCTCCGCCATCGGGCTCAATGGTAGCCCTGTGCCTTCTGCGTGTCCAGCCCTGTCGTTTGACGGCAGGGCTGTTTTGTTGGGCAGCATCACAACTGCCGGCATAGGTAAGCCCCAATCCACCGAAGAGATGATTGTGGCGGTGTGCTGAAGGGATAAGAAAGTGCCCCGTTGCTTCTGGGATAATGGTTTGTGAAACACCAAACCGACCCAAAAGAAGGAGCACCAAATAGATGCTACCACGTAACGACCCCGACCGCATCCAGATCGCCTTCGACGACCACCGCCTGGTCAGCAATGCTGGGCTGATCCTTCCGTCCACCTTGGCACTGCATCTGGGCCTGCCCCAACTGGTTGATCGGCACCTGGACCTGGGCCGTGCCCCAGGCGGAGCCAACACGGGCGACCAGATCATGACGCTGGTGGCCTCCGCCCTGGCTGGGGGCGACTGCATTGACGATGCCGACGGGTTGCGTGCTGGCAGGACCGCGCGGGTGCTGGGCTGCGTGGTCAAGGCGCCATCCACCCTGGGCACGTTCCTGCGCAGCTTCCGTTGGGGCCACGCCCGCCAGCTGGATCGGGTGAGCCGGGAACTGCTGGCCCGGGCCTGGGCCGCTGGGGCGGGACCCCGATCTTTGAACAATCACGGACCGTTGACCATCGACCTGGACCCCACCATCTGCGAGACCTACGGTCCGGCCAAGGAGGAGCCCGCCACCACGGCTACACCGGCCACCACGGCTACACCGGCCAGCGGGGCTATCACCCGCTGCTGGCCGTCGCCGCCGGCACCGGCGAGTGCTGATGGCCCGGCTCCGTGGGCCGCGCCAACACCGCTCGCGGCGCCGCCCACTTCCTGAGGGAGACGATGGGACGGGTACGCTACGCCGGAGCCACCGGACTACTCACGGTGCGGGCCGATAGCGGCTTCTACAACCACGCCATGGTGTCCACCTGCCGCCAGCTGGATGCCCGCTTCTCCATCACCATCCGCCAACACCAGAGCCGGCGCAACCAGATCGAGGCCATACCCGAGGGGGACTGGACGCCCCTACCCTACTGGATGGACGGCGCTGCCGACGTGGCCGAGACTACCTACATCCCCTTCGAGAGTGCGCCCGACGCCGCGCCGGTGCGGCGCATCGTCCGCAGAGTGCAGCCCACGCCCGGTTCTCAACTGGCCCTCTTGGCCGACTACAGCTATCACGGCTTCATCACCGACCGGGACGGAGGCACTCTGGAACTGGAGGCACTCTGGAACTGGAGGCCGATCATCGCCGCCACGCCGAGATCGAGAACGCCATCCGCGACCTCAAGTACGGCGTGGGACTGAACCATCTCCCCCTCAGGGCGTTTCGCCGCCAAGTCCCCTTGCAATCTACGGCCTGGCTGGCGGTCCAGGTGATGGCCCACAACCTGGCCCACTGGGCTGCGCGCATCGGTCTGGGCGAGCAACTGGTGACCACCAAGACCCTCCGACGGCGGTTCTTCTCCATCGCCGGACGGCGCACTCGCTCGGCGCGCCCCTGACATCATTCCCCAGCGCTGGCCCTGGGAAAACAGTTCACTCACGCCTGGGCCCGAGTGCGCGCCGTTCCCCTACCAGCCTGACGACGCGCCGTCGCGCCCAACCCGTCGCGGACAACCCCTGGGCTGTCC